ATTTTAAATAAAGCATAATTTCTACAGAATTCAGTTCAATAAGATTGTAATTAGACCACATATAAATTACCGTCAAACTGACTGAATACTTTCACCAAGTAAATTAACAATGAAGATAGATAAAAGTTAGTTAAAATGAAAACATCCTTTGAAAGAATGAACGAATATTGTGATTTTCGAATGACATACGAAAGATTTCAAATAAGTGCTATATAATACTTCAAGTTCTCATAAACAACTTTGTTACTTCAGTATCTTTTAGGAGGATTTAAGAACACAATATTGAAATCAGACGAAATACTCGATATGTTAGCGAATATTACAATAATTGAATATGAACATGTTGAGATCTAAATGATATTTAAGATAAGTTTCAGAGTCTTGGTAAGATTTTAGGGACTTTGAAAATGAATTGACAATACCACTATGACTCACTGAAAACAGGACATAGAATATACACATTTTAAGGAAACCACATTTCTATGAAAGAATATTGATAGCTGAAGACCTTTCTTATTTGATAATTATCAAGTAAGAAAGTCATTATTTGTTTTTCTACCCTACATCTATCTCAAACATCACCAAGAACAACTATGTTTACTTGTCCGATTAATAAACTGTTATAATGTTGTAAGGAAAAGAATCAAATGCACAACTAGATATATCAGTTATGTTTATTCTTTTTAACACTAAATCTTTGATGATTTGATTAGCTGAACACTGTAGTTATTTAAAACAAGACTGATATGTCAGTTGTGTGACTTCAGCTAAACGCCCATTACTACTATCTGCTATTTAATGAAACGGAACGAGACTGTGATACAGGCCCAAGAAGTAAGACAAAAGTGTAGAAGGAGACTGATTTATTCACCAATCACTGATTAAATTACATGTACCATAGTAATCACAAGTTACATTTATCTTTAAATGCAGATACATCCAGCTGACGAGTCCCAAATAGGGCGAAACGCGCGTCCTGAGTTCCACTGCTAGCCACTATCCATCTTCGCCTATCACTTTAAATGTTTGGTCATTAAATAAATTGGAATGAATTTAACTAGCTGTTAATTAATAATTTAATGCGGGTATTTAATTCGCGCAATCAATAAACAAATAGTCAATCTGTCAATTCAACCAGATCACATCTCAACAGAACTTTCATGCATATATGGTTGAATATTTTCACAATAGTCTGACACTGAATGTGTTGGAAAAACTCTATGGGAAATCGTATTTGTAAAACTCTCACTGATTAAAATTAGAAAGAACTACTGTAGTGTGTGCTATTATATCGACACAAGTAGTATATAACGAAGAGGAAAGGACGGAAACAGAAAGCAATCGGTATGAAAATGCATGAACAATGAATTCGGAGACGATTGATTGATATTTGAAACAGGAACAGTCAAGTCTGAGACAATTGATTGACATTCTTACTGTATGGTTCTCAGATTTTACTAACATGTTCTGTAATGAATAAAAATAATATATTTGTAGTATCCCAATGAGTAGAAAATTGGATTTTCTGACGTTTCGTGACTTAGTGTAAGTCACTTCTTCAGAGAATAAATAACCAAATTAAAATTAATCCAAGTTTAAATAGTACAACGGAACAATGCAAGAATAATATTGGATCAATCAAAAAGCAGGTCTGAACAAGTTGATGTCATGTCATTTCTGTCAAGGTGATTCATAAGTGATAAGTATGTAAATTTGTAGGTGTCATTACCAAGGTTTGATTTGATAATTTCGAATAAATTGAGCATTGGGTTCTGTAATGTATAAAAGTACAGTCAATTGTCCTCACTTGTGTTCTTGTTCACTACACTCCTACTATTGTGTTGGCAGTTCAAATAAATAGCGTTCCCACTCTTCCTTTCTTGATCTTCCCCCATCTTCGTCTGCCAGACATTACGTTCTTTAACTCGCGTCATATACTACTTATATCAATACAAGCAGCACACACCACAAATATAATAAGATTAAAATGTTTTTGTTATAATAATTAAAGGTCATAGAGGGGTAGAAATAAATAAGGTGATATGATAAGCACTTACGAATAAAACAATGAGAATATAAGTCATAAGTAAAAGGGAGAATGCAATAATAATAATAATAAACTTGATACCATGGGAACAAGACTGATTACAGATATTTACAGATGATTATTAATGGTAGCTAATCGCTACTTGTAAACATCTTGAACACTTTTTTTCATTTTCACAAATTAAGTGCCTATAAAATTGGAATTTGTTGTAATGTTTCATATTACTTTCTGACAATTTACTACTTCAATCAAATATATGGTTTTGTATGAAGCAAGTATTATTCTTATGTTAGTGCATGAGATGGTGGAGAAGATTTGTAACTCAGGAGGATGGTTTTGGTGGAGTTTTGTTCTCTGAGCTGGATGGTTTGGTCATGGAGCTTTCATCGTTCTTCTGAACGATGTTAGTGCATGTTTGGTGAATAAAAAAATTATAAGTTTTCTGTCTAACTGGAAAGAAATATATTTATTTATTCAGTCTGTAATTCAGTAGTGGTTAATAATCCATCAAAGGAAACATTCTATTTCTTTAGTCTAAAAGCAGCGAATAACTCATCTGATTTGATATGATTCATGACATTATCCACACACAGTTATATAATATACCCTTGTGGGCCAGGGTAATTTTACATTGATTTTCAGGAGAACCAGACACCATCCCGACCTTCACGTGACAACCCAAACAGTACACCTCAACCCCGTTTAGCAGGGGGACCAGACACCGTAAAGGCTTTAACGCTACAATCTGAATAGTACAACTCAATCCTGTAGCTCGGCCACACAGGTACCAATCACCTTGGTGGACCAATTATCCATACATACACTGTTGTAAATCCATTCCTAACAAAACTTGTCTCATTTTCTGGTTAAATACAATTTAATGAAAACAGATTATAAGAAGAAGAAGAATAACAATAACCAAATCTCGTAAATACTACATATATCTGGCGTTGTTTTAGTTTTAATTTAATGACTGGTCAAATTGGAAAGTACTTGTGGTTTGCTTAGTGACAAAATATAACACTACTTTAGAGAAGTAACTACTATAATTAATCCACAGTCTACCGACTTTCGATTCCAATATATTTTATATAAAGAAATCTGAAACCATATTTTTACTTTTTAGAATTAAATAAGATTCCGTAAAGCTTATAATAACGATTCATGATAAAGTTTTCTCTTTAACTTACGTAATCTTCACTGTAATCAGAATAATTTAATGATTTTATGAACCTACTAGTTATATTTAGAGTGCAGTTGAAAAAGCTTTTGTAAATAGAGCTTGGAACGTTTCACTTTCTTCCATTACCTGATACCATGACTCTTTGTATGTACTGAATGATTCAAATTTCGAGGAAGTACTCAAGTCCAAGCTATAATACATAAGGTATTGACTATTTTCCAACCATATATAATGGTTATGTATTAAAATAATCAGCGATAATGGAAAAGATTTAACGTTATTTATTCTTAATATTGGTAAGCATTGTATTTGGTCCTATATAGGGCTTATCAGTTGAACGTACCAGAGAGCGGTTTGTAAGCAGTATGTAATTTGACGTTATTTACAAAATAAAGGGTCAATAATCTAGTTGGTGGTCAGGTAGATACAATTTGCCATTTGTCATCACTGCATTGACTGTGCGCTTTAAATTTCAGACGTTACAGATTCCACATATATTTCCTTTAGTTATTGTTATATCATAACCCTTATGTTTTACACACTAATGTGATTATATCGAAAGATTTTGTCAATACAAACCACCGGAGATTGTTCCATTACTATTCCGTTTGTAAAGCCTTATACAAACCGTCTCCTACTCAAACTGGTGTAGTGAACAGAACACAGGTTAGAACAACCGCATTACTTTTGGCACACAATTATAGAGTTACTTGGTAAAATAGAAAAAGCATAATCTAATACTTAATTTGCAAAATGACCATTAATTGTCTCAGACCTCATTGTTCCTGTAATTCCACACCAATTACTTTCTATTCCCGTTCTTCCCTTCTTGATCTTCTCAATCTTCTGCTGCCATACATTACATTCCTGAATCGCATTATATACTACTTATGTCAATATAAGTAGCACAAACTGCACTAGTACCACAATTAGTAACATTATCGCCATAATGACGGGGGAGGTACATTACAATAATGAAATTCATGCTTCAACACAATCTAACATCTTTAGAAAAAAACAGTTGACAAATGAACCTATTTCAGCTAAACTTTTAGAATAATTAATATGCATTATTGTGGGTAGCTGGCCTTTGGAAGATAATGTAATCTTTCTAAAAGCTTGAGACAGATCACTTCACACAGGACCATAGTTCAATGGTGCATTTATTCATTAGATATATGACATGATAAAATAATCATTGAATACATAGAGACAACTGATTACTCACATTACGAACACATCAGCAATTATACTTTTTAAGTCACTGCTTCAGTCGTTGCTTGCTAACATATTTGACCTACGTTTCATGTCAATCTGTTATCAAAAAAGAAATCAAATCTGTTCATTGTCCTCACAACTGAATAAGTGATCAATCGAATCATCCATTAAATTTCCATCCCTCTTCCTTAGTCTATTCTTCAAGTAACATTCCTTTGAACGGGCACTAATCAATCAATACTATGATATGATGGGTGCTCAAAATTTACTAATCTGTTACACCACTTATTGATGATTTCTGCTTGTTCTCTTTTATCCAAACAACTGTAATCGTTTCTTGAATAAACTACTCCTTAAAATAATAACCAATATCTAGGAAATGGATAGATTGTGAAGAACGAAGTTGATCTTGTTTGAACTATATCTTTAAAATTAATTTGACTTGATATCTTGTTCACCTAACTGATATTACAAGATTAAGTAGTCTATAAAGCAGTATAAAATTGTCATTTGACGCAAAATATCTTCATTTTACTTTATTAATCTTTCCAGAATCATTAACAACATCAACAAGGCATTTCGATGGCCAATGTTGATATGACCTGGCCAACAACAATAGTTACTGTATCTGGTGAAAAAACAGTATTTTGTCAACGTAGTAGTAGTATAACAGAGAAATCATCTAATGACAATATACAAAAAACAATCAATTCATCTATTCAACATGATATTGAAAACTTAAACTTAAATCATTTGAATGAAGATGAACGTCAAAAGGTTTTATGTGTAGTAAAAAAAGACTTTGAAGTACGTGCTAAAGAACGAGAAAGATTGAAGTAAGCATTTATTTAATAATTTTTTATCTCTTATTATTTGTCAGTTACTAGCAATATACAGATCGATATAAATACGAACTGATCCATAATTTGAAACAACAAAGTATCAGAGAGTTTAAGCAATAGGGATTATCACAATATGAATGTTAAATGAGTCAAATTAATAAAATCAATAATAAGGTGTAATCACAATTGATTGATCACTGAATGGTGATCACTGTCATTTGTGTTAAGTCCTTTCTAGTGCACCAGTTCCCTTAAGATTACAAGTACACCTTGTTGACGAGTGCCGAGTAGCACAAAACCCGGGTCCAGAGTTTCCTGTTGACTACCTCCAACCACCATCTTATCTCAATAATAAAGTGTAAATAATTAAAATAAATAAACAAAATCGATTAAAAATTTTCATTGAATAATTGAATTTTCAAGACTTCAAAAAACGCTTTTATTAAAATCACAAACCGATCTAAGTTAGATAATGATTGAAAGTTTAGAAGCATTGGATGGCGGTTTATCCTTGTATGGAACTCCTTAGTGGTGCATATTCACGACTCTGGGGTCAAGAATTGAACTCAAAACCTTCGATCTTGTTAGCAAATGCCTGAATCAGAATTTATAGTATACATGTCTAACTCCAACCAATTCACGATACTGCATAACCCTCTTCCATTGTCTTTTATGGTTGTCTAGTGTAAATTGGCTCGCAATCTGAATAAGACTCAACAATTTCCCAACCCCTCACTGACAGTTAACAATTTTATCTTGAATTCACATGCTATAACCTTTAACTTGGTCACTTTTTGAATTATTAATTTGGTTATACAATTGTAGAACTTAAAGAGATTTTATTAAAAAGAATATTCTCCATTCATATATGTGTTCTAATTTTCAAACTGTCAATAGTTTGACAAAATGAAGCAGAAAACATTTATTCATCTTTGTGTGCATTTTCTGAGCTACCATCATCTATAGTAAATTGAAAGTAGGATCACATTTCTTTATAAATAAAAGCCGCTTATGTATATTGTGAACTAAAATTATCCATACCGATTCTCAGAAACAATTATCAATGAATTAAATAATTGATAACCATTAGTACTTCAATAGTAATTACAAACTGAAATATGCTACTTTTGACCTTCAAATGACGCCAATGTTTAGTCAATCAGAATATAAACGATACATTTTATTACGTAACATCGCTGAAATGTTTAGAGATAGAATTAGAAATTCGATTTAAGATTTAGGGTTATGAATTTAAGTTAGAATTAAGGGTTAGAAGCTAAGAGTAATAGTTAAGAATAGAGTGGAATAATGCTTCTTAGCCATATGCATGTAAACTTATGGAAATGATTCTTTGATTTTAAACACCGTGACGCTCAAAGTTAACTTTAAAAAATTGATAAATTATGGTCTACATTCTTTGGTTTTAAAATGTTTATCATTTTGTGCAGTCTTATCAACCACTTTTGTTAGGTTTTAATCAATTCTTAATAAGACATAAGTTGTTGCTTTGAATTTCACACAAAAATCCAATAACCACTATCTTACATCTGATTAGTTCGTCAGTAGGGTTTACCTTCGTTATCGTGACATGTACTCTAGCAGAGTGGAATCTAGAGTAAATTTACAATACTAATAGGACCATGTAGGTTTATTGACACTTTATGATGATTCGTTGGACATAGCCGAAACGTCCGGGTATCTAGTGACTTGTGTTAGCCAGGTGTGATTGTGTAACAAGTTATATTGAACTGCTTACTTCAAAAGCTAGAGCTCCGCTAGTCTGGTTGTAAAAGCCCCATTGACATAAACAAATTTTCTCTATGTTGGTAAAATTTACACTCTTTAGGCTGAGTATCTTCATTGTCTCCCTGTGTACAACACCGTATTGATATTCTCAAGACCAGAGAAGAGAAGATATTATTATCATTTTAAATCAATGCATTTGGTACATTTGCAACATTCCATCCCTTTTGCTTAAATTACTTCCATACAAGGAATTAAATAATGATACAAAAACATGATGATTAAAGAAGATAAATAATCACTTTCTGACACCGTACCTTGAATTAAGAGGTACTTGTATAGTATTAGATACTGCTAAAGTACTTGACTTTAAACAGTCGTAGGCTCGAACATCAGTACAGGTACTTAAATATTTGTCTCGTATAATGACGTGCTACAATGCCTCATTTCTGTAAAGTGCTTATTTCTTAACAAACTCTTATTCTTTGAAGATCCGACATCTATAAAAATCTATCTAAAAACGGCACCAGCCTAACAAATCTACAAAGATTTATAAAATGACATGATCATGGTACTAAGAATTGCAATTAATACTCCTTCTCTTGATTTTTCTTTTACTGGTCTAATAATATGCTTTCAATTGGGCTTTGGAATCGCATTTTGATTGATAGGAGAGGGGTACGGATGACAGAATTAAGGAGTTAAATCGAACACATTTACCATACATATCATGATGCTCTCGTTCAACAATTTGTAAACTGATGACTTAACTTTCAGAATTACATTATGTTTACCTTACGAATTATTACCAACTATCAGATGGATAGTCTATCTCAGATACATCAACCTAAACTCGGTAAATTTATAATATTGACTGTTTATTGATTATAGAACCTTATAAAAAGTCCTTAATTTTACTACATTTCTATTTCATTAATTTCTTTTATATACCTTTAAAAAAATATATTAACTTAGCCGATTTCGTTCAAGTATTTTAAGACGAGATAGAGAATTGGCTGTTAAAAGTTTAACATCAACTAGTGAAAGTACATCTTGTTTATTATGTGGACGTGCATTTATACCTTTGATTAATCCTAAACATATATGTTTCAATTGTCAACGTGAAATTTGCCGAAATTGTTCAGAATCTATGAATAAATACGATGAATTCTTATGTAGAATGTGTTTAAAAGAGAAGTAAGTTACTTTTTCAAAAGTAGTCTAGTCTATATATTTTTTTGTGTGATGATAATGACAGGTATTGTCGGTCAGTTAGCTACAATGTAGGACCAGGCACATATATGCATACATGTTGATAAACTGTGAGATTGCTAAAAAAAAGGAAATACCTAGACAACATTTTATAGTTTATTTATCCTAATTTAAAAACGATTCTCTTCTTTAGTAGTCAATTTTATGATAATCAATAGGATTCAACTAATTTGATAAAAAGAAGACCAGTTGTATGTTACTTACGCCTGTTACTCCTCGTGAAGGAGCATAGGTTGCCTACCAGCACTCTCTATCCAAACCCTGTCTTGGGCAATCCTTCCCAGCTCTTTCCAGTTGTTATTCATCCTTTTTATATCTGATTCTATTTCCCGACGTAATGTGTTCTTTGGTCTTCCTCTTTTCCGCTTCCCTTCAGGATTCCAAGTAAGGGCTTGCCTCATGATGCAGTCTGATGATTTGCATAATGTATATCCTATCCATTTCCATAATCTTTTCCTAATTTCCTCTTCAGCAGGAAGCTGATTTGTTCTCTCCCACAGAAGGCTGTTGCTGATGGTATCCGGTGAACGGATATTGAGTATCTTGCGTAGATACCTATTCATAAATACTTGTACCTTCTTGATGATGGTTGTTGTAGCTCTCCATGTTTCAACTCCCTACAGAGAAATGTTTTGATGTTCGTATTGAAGATTCTGACTTTGATATTAGTTGAAAGTTGTTTCGAGTTCCATATGTTCTTCAATTGTAGGAATGCGGCCCTTACTTTGCCAATCCTCGCCTTTACGCTAACCAGTTGTATGTAACTGTACCATAATATCATTCAGTATGTTTGACAATTGACATTATTAGTACCCCCTTTATTATGATGTTATCAACTAGAGTCATTTTAGAACACACACAAAAACCAAATACATTACATTAATCGTATTGAAGTTTTAATAAATTAAACTTATGCGAAACTTAAGAAATATCGAAATCTTTTCAGTATTTAAGAAATTTAGTTAGTGAACAAAGAATATTTGTCAAATGAGCATTGAAAAACTCAAACTTACTGTCTAAACTAAATAATTTTACTCTAGTTGGATAACTGGAGATGTCAAAGAACTTCTGTTTTAACGATGATATCAGTATAACAACTTTTCAATAAAGATTAATTCAACTCCTAAACATAATAATCCATCACTTGGCTGATCAATCTAACCGAATACCTCATTTGAAAAGTTACAAACACTCTCATATTGGTCATCATTAATTTTATACCGGTAATGTTTTGATGGAACTTTGCACGTGCAACTGTATTTTGGACTTCGATTTTCACAAGGCCTAGGCGTATTTCGAAGGTGATAGACTACCAAACTGACTCTCGACCCATGATCACTTTCAATGCACTGGACTAACAGACATGGTAACTATCATCATCATTACAGTGTAAAAAAACAGAAGGAAAGGACATTTAGAATGGAACTTGAAAACCTTTTAAAAAGTATTAAGTGTACTATAAAAGTAAGAACCCTCAATCATTCATCATCTCAACAATGTACTCGATATTAAGTCGCTTAGACTAGTGGTCACCTTGGAACTTGACTGAGAGAATTCAGCCAGCAATTAAAGTTTACAAATTCTTCTATCAACAATTTTTCTTTCGTTTTGACCGGTTTCATAACTAAGTTTGGCTAGTTACCAAAAAGTTGCAACGGCGATTTCATGCACTTATGTCCGTAAAAACTTCAAACCCTGTTTAGCCACTTACATAAACACACTAAATGTAATCTATTCATTGTCAGGTTGACGAGGTTCAGCTAGTAGGATGTTTTCGTTTTAATCTGGTAGGAAATGTCTTCTTGATGTATGCTCAGAAGGAACATTTATAGTCAGGTATATAAAAATACACCATAGAAGCAACACGTCCATAAAGACATTAATTTAGAACTATACATTTTCATTTAAATTTGTTGTATAACACATATTAATGAGATTATGGTTAAAACAGTGTATCTAAGTTTTAGACAATAAGCAACAACTACTTTCTATAACGATATTCCTGTTCCTCCTAGACAATCAGTATATCAGCATAATTTCTTTGAATTTTCATTAACTCTGTAAATAATATACTTGATTAAAACCTGGAAATCTGTGTTAATTAAATAATCAAATCATACTTTGGGGGGGAGTGAAGATTATTCCTTTTTCTCTTTGCTTGATGAAAAGCAGTCTCAATAATCTGATCACATGAGCGATTCCTTGAAATGAACATTTCCTGTTATTTGAGAAGGAGAACAACCGGGCCGAATTGTTTCAATCAATAGTTAAGTAACAAGCTCAGTTATAAGTATTCATTACCTGTAACCTAGAAACAGGTCAATAATAAATATCAAACAACGATTCTAAGAAAAGATGCTTTCAGAGATCTATTTAAATCGAATTTAGTTTTTTTTGTCACTGGTTGGAAAACTATTGATTCGCTCATATATAAGTGAATAAAGCTTAAACTTTAACTCTTCAAGTTAGTCTACTTTTTACTGATTTTTACAGTCTAAAAATCAAACATTAGTCAATGGATAAATGGTCATAATTCAAAGAATAAGGTGAGTTGCTAGTTACGAACTAATAATAGCTGATTAACATCATAGCTTATTGCCAATCAAGTTGACATTATTCTTACAAAATATACAACTATTATTCCCACTTTCTGTAAATGTCATTCTTGTTAGATGTGATCCATTGAGAAAAGAGATAACAAAAGTGAATAAACTTAAGTGATTTGTTTATACCTACGACAATAGATCAGCTAAAAATTATACCATTTTTGCATTGATAACAAAATTATTTCAATGTTTATTAATTATTACTACATACTAATTCTATATTATCCTCCTTTAACTCAGGTCTAAGTAACCTAATCCACTATTTAACTTACATGGACTAAAAACAGTTACTAACTCAATTTATCTTCATTGTTCAATATGGTTTTTTTACTGACTTTACTTAAGTGAATAATTTCTACTTTTATCGTATTCAGAAATTATCGTGCAATGACATGTAATTGGTTTTACGAGACAGTAATTCAACGATTCAGAGAATTCGGAAGTACAACTGTTGCTAAAAGTTTATTTGGATCAACGTACAAACGTAAGTTTAGTATAATGTTTAATAGAAAAAATTTGATTCAAAGCTTTCTCAGTATTATTATTTTTCGAAAATATCACAATCATTATTGCTTCAAAACATTTCCAGCTAAGATGTTTACCATATATATTACGTCACTGCCTACCATGAGCCTCTAAGCTAGTCAAAATAGTAGGACGTTGAAAAAGAGCTAGAATTGGCTTAACCAAGACATTGGATCATTCGACTAAATCACTGATTGTTGACCTACATAGCTCCAGATGGTGCACAAAGACTCTGGTTGAAAACCTTAGAAAAAAGAATTATTATGTGAATCTAGTCAATAGCACTATTGAACAAAGAGATATTACAAACATTCAGACAGAATTTTCTTCCATTTAGTTTCCTACTTTTATTAATTAATAATTAAAAAGGCCAATTACACTTTACTATTTACTGAAAGTAATCACTTCATCAATAATTGCCTGGAATAATGACAACTGGATAATGTAGGTAGACTTTTTTTTATCAGATCAGCTTTGGGAAAGATTTCCATATATTAACCGCGTAAAGTGTTTGACTGATTCACCAATTACATCAAATGAGGACCATTGAAGTCGTAAATATTTACTAATGAGTTATTTACGTGACTTGGAATCGGAAGATTAGAGTTAAAATTTTGTGATTAATATGGACTGTAGATGGAATCACAAGCTAATATAAAGTAGTGGTCCAGTCCTCCTTTCTTTTCATTGAATGTTTTAAAAGTTGACTTCAGTATGTAGCGGAAATTAGCTAAAGACGATGTGGCTTCTTTGTTAAAAATTATGAGTTCCTTTAAAATTCTCTGCGATCTTCATAATGTATTGATGAATAATACAAAAATTCAAAGTCTAAAGTTATAATACCACCATTGAGAGATTTAAAGGTAAAAAACTGAATATGTTCGTATCTCTAGAACTACCCAATAGGGTAGAGCGTCATTTTCTCTTTAAGTTGTTCCATTCAAATACATTTCGTGAATCACATTTTATTTCACTACTTTTACACTGTAATTTAGGGTTGATTGAAAAATTACATTCCTGCTACTCAATATGATATAAGACATTCAGAGTGAGAGTCATCATATTCGTTGTAGATACATGATAGTCGATATTCTCTTCTTCCCATTATTGTATCAATCTGTCCAGTTATAGCGGTTATTTGATATGTAGAACCAGCTAAGAAAGGATTATAAACAAGCATACAGTAGTACAATATTTGAAATCAGGATTGCTGTCAACTGGTTAATTAATTTGTAATAATGAAATGAAAACTTACAATACGTAAATATTATTATAGTTCTGAACAACACTATTATTACAAATAGAGAGGAATGTTTTTATGGAATATGTTCGCTGCAATATGTAGATATTTCAAATATCTTCGTAGTCAAATTATTGTCCATCCTTCTCTGGTTACAAAACTCATCATAAATGAACATAAGGGATTTAAAACGTTATCCATTAAAATGTTTTTGATTTAGATTATGAACTGATTGGTGTTAGACCACCATAGAAAACCTGGAAGCACTGGATGACCGTTTCGTCCTATTGTGGGACTTCTCAGCAATGCACATCCACGGTCCCGCTCTCAGGGTTTTGAACCCAAGGCCTTCAGTCTCGCGCGCGAACGCCTAACCTCTAGACTACAGAGTTGGCATCCAACGGTGTTAATGTCTAATCCCAACCAATCTGCGAAATTGCGTGACCATATTTCATTGTCTGAGGTAGATACCTGTCTCTACTCAACACGAATTAGCTCCACTGGTCGCGGTTTCTCACTAGAACTCCAAGAATGAACACTGCCGAGAAGTCCCACAATTGGACGAAACGGCCGTCCAATGCTCCCAGGTTTTCAATGGTGATCTGACATCAATCGGTTCATGATCTCAATCAAAAACTTGATAATTTCCACAATCCTATACTGACCATTAAAATATATTTGTCATGTGAATAAATAATAATCATTTTTATCATGAATATTAAGCTAAATATTTATGATAATTATAAAATTAATTAAATTAATTTCGATAATTACTTCCGATTGATTTCTTTACATAATGATTTTATTAATTTTTTTTGTGAAAACATAATGAATACTGATACTTATTGTTCTGTTTTGCTCATTTTTGCTAATGATGTTTCGAATAATAAGTGATTAGAGGATATCAACAAAATCTCGTTACCAGTGGAATTCAACCAGGTCTGTTGTGAGATAGTAACTCACTGAAGACAATGGTGTACGGTGGCGCAACTTCGTGGATTGGTTGAATTTAGACATTAACACCGTTGGATGCCAGCCGGCTCAGGAGTCTAATTGGTTAAGCGCCTGGCGCGAGGCTGATAGGTCCTGGGTGCGGGATCGTGTATGCGCGCTGCTGGGGGGTCCCGTGCTAGGACGAAACGGCCGTCCAGTGCTTCCAGGTTTTCCATGGTGGTCTAGCTTCAACTGACTCATGATTTCAACAAGTGAAAATCTCTGAAATTGCATTTCGTGCTAGTTACTACCTCTTGTTAGTAAGACTTACATGCAGTTTCGAGTGAACTGATGCTCTTTCTCTGTGGGATCTGAAACTGTGTCTCCCAGTTTAACATTGTGAGACTTTACTGTTGTATTTTAATTGCTGAGACTGACGACCTACATGAAAAAGATATTTAAACTGATTGGTTGCTAAGCAGTCTTGTTTTTGTGGTCCTTATAAATAAATGAATTCCATTGATAATTATGTAATGTTACCACCAGTTTAAATAATCTGACATTCACTAAACTATGTTTCCTTATCAGATAGTTAGCATAATCTATTGTCACGAAAGAAAGGAAATCTTTTTTTGATTCAAGTTAAGCGTCAGATATCGATCATATTAACACTAGTTTTATGTAGATATAACTTGCTTGCAAGTAGTGTAAACAGAAAGTGTATTTAATATAATGTTGTATCATGATTAGAAATTATTCTAATAAAGCCAAAAGCGTTGATTTTTAACGATACTGGTTTCGTAGACATTACCGTAAATGAGAAACAAATCAATACATAAAAATGCTTATTAATGTATAGGGTTATATTAATTTGTCAATTTTGAGTTTCATATCACAGACTAACGTTATTTAGACAACTAGTGAAAACTAGAAAACAATTGATTGCCATTTTGTAGTGAACTCCTTGACATTTTACATCCATGAACTCACCATAGATTGAACCCAGAATCTTTAGGCCTCTCAATGAGCACATAACTTTGAAACCACTGAATTTACAGACCATGATAACACTTCTAAATTTAATCGATTTGTAAGATTGACTAACCATCGTCTAATGTTATTCATCAGCATTAGTCTCACACTTGACACAGTTGAACTTCAATGATGACAGGTTCTGACTAGAACTTTGATAAACACTTTTCTAAATCAATTATTAGTGCGCACATATTTATCCTCGGTATATGAGGTTATAGGAGTTAATTATTTTATAGTGCTTTTCAGTTCTTAATGGTCACCAAATTAAAGTCATCCCATCATTTACAACTATGAAATACTTGTTTATTAATATGTTTGATAACAATCAATTACTAGTCGGTTGAATTAATTATTGATTTGTATATTTTAGAAGTTCAAAATATGGCTGAAGAAGAACTTTGGAATCTTTTATTTCGATCTTCATCATCCAAAAGAAACTCTATCGAATCGAGTATGTGTTTTATGTATAATTGTTCTTGTGTGTATATTCAAAATGATAAATTATTCAATCTTTTTATTTATTGCTTAAGTTTACAGGTATATTTCAGTTATTATTTTAAATCATCGGTTCATTCAGTCAGTAACAACGTAGAACTTCGTACGTACCTACATCAGTTCGAGTTGCAATACCACATTGACACACAGATACAATTGTCCATTCAAATCCTATACTGGTAGAGGTAGTAAAAGTATAAGCAGTATTAGGAAACATTAGGGTTCGAAAATGTTATTCAAGAAGCATAATCGAGTGAAATAAATTTGAAAAGAGAAAAAAGAAAGGGACATGAAGAATTCAGAAGAGTAGAATTTGGGAGAACACAAAGAGTGACTCCGCCTGCGTCATTGTAAACGATTTTGAGCCATGTTACCCAAGGTTTCTAACTATCGGTTGCTATCGTCTGGCCAATCTCAACCAGGTAGTCTACACCCACCAACATGACTCAGTCCACTTGTCAGTAACTTCACGGATCTGTGGCATGTTTTGGTTTGGCCGTCCCTAGCATTCTTCCAACCTACTCCTACAGGATGAAACATCGTTCGTCGAGGCAGTCGGTGGTTATGTATACGTAACACGTGTCCAAGCCATCTCAACTGATGAAGTTTCACTACTTCATCAATTGATTTGCCATCCTTACCTAGTAACCAATTCCTAACAACTGTATTACTCGGTGGTCACAGGATATACGAGCGATGTTTCGAAGACAGCTATGATCAAATACTAGTAACCTACGAATATCCTCTAATCTAACCAACCATCGGTTAAATATTTTAGTGTCAAAAATGAAATGAATTACAACAGTTAAACTGGATTTTCCTATCACAAATGAATGAACTTCATCACACCACTAGTCATCTAAGTTTGTAGCATTAAAATAAGTTGTAAATTAGATGATGAGACTGATGTAGAATTATATATGGAATGCTTCCTGCGTGACGATGAAAGTTTCTTAGTCAAATTATCTAGATTGGAGAAAACAACACCACTAAAAGAGTATACTTGAACTGTATATGTTATTCATTCTTTTAATCACAATAAATGTTCCTACTTTAGATTTAATATGGAATATATGGAATGTGGCTAGCAATAGAATCCGGTACTAAGTTCGAATCCCAGAGTGATGAGTCCCAAATAAAACAAAACTCGCGTCTTCCATTCCAACACTTGCCATATTTCATCTATTCTATATATTACATAAAGACAATCTACACACAGGATGCACATATATATCAACAACGAGATAATCCAAACCATTTCATCATAATAACTAATTTACACTTGTCTTAATGAAATATCTATACAATTGTGTTATAAATTACATTCATATGTTATCATAATAACCCTATACAACTATTAAAATGCTAAATCCAATAAGATATCATGAAGAAGACACAAAAATGGTTTTTAAAAATAAAAGAACACTTTCCCTGACATCTTTTTCTTTTGAAAATCAATGTGACATGAATAGATTAGGATCCATACATTAAACATTATAATTAGTATTTGAAGATAAGAAAAAAACTAGTTAAAACCTTTTACAGTTGAAAGTAAATGACAAACACAAATACTGTCGGTATACACAATGAACACATTGTTTTTCTTGGTGACTGTCAATGTAATCTTTTCTAGAATGGAATTTTTTCATAATTTTGCATATTTTATCCTAAAAAAAAACAGAAAAAAGAACCTTTTTTCTATCTGTAATCAACCATATGCTACTGAATATTGCGTTTAGTGTTAGTAACAGTCGCCAACCAATGATTAATCAGTTTTTTAATAAGCATAAATAAACTATTTAAGATCATCGTGTCAGTTTTAAGTATTATCAAAGAAAAATATGATCATTAGGAGTATTTGAATTATAATACAAACTAGGAATCTCAGAAATAATGCAATCGGATCAAGAAGTATAGGAATTCGAAATCAAACATTCAACAGGCATAAAATAATCATTAGTTCATACAAACACCACATCCGTCATAGCTTAAATTAGAGTCTCAGTTTCTGTAATCGATTTACGTCTACTCCTTATGTTCATCCTGTGCCTGTTCGACAGTGTATTGGATGTAGACTCTATATGATATAGGATGTATTCACTAGTATTAGGACCAACAACTGCAAATGCAACGGAATCACCATATCGGTTGTGTACTGAAACCACTAATATTTAGAATTTGAACCATAGATTTTGCAACATTATCCTCCCCCAATAGATAATGTTGGATCTTCATATCCCCAAGTTATGAATGATTTGGCTTCATTGAAAACATATTTCTTACATTGACCAGAGTATACATTAGAAGTGACTTCATGATAAGGATAAATAACAGTTGATATGAAATCATCCGAATTGTAATCAAAATCGAGCTCATTTAGAATTCGTACTTCGCATTGAACAAGTTTCCCACAAGAAACAAATGCATTATGAGGACAAATAATATTTGACAGAACATCAAGATTTTATTCTTCTAAAATCGCTTCCTCAAATTTATTAAAAACGTCATCAAAGAATAATGGATCATTAGAAAAATCAGCATCTATCAAAACTACATCAGGTTTTCGGTCATGATTTGATTCACTCAACATATTCTCCTCGGATTTATAAGAAATTTCATCAGAAATATATGGATCATTAGGACAAACCATACCTGGTACAATAACATGGGAAATCTGATAAGAAGTTGGTTGGTTAGAAACTTTTGTCTCGCAATTATTCTGAGTTTCATTCAATTCTAAACCACTTTTCGAAGTTATGAATAAAGATAAATGATCGTTAGAAACACCAAACGTAATTAGACCACAATTACAAATTTTAGCATTAGTTGCAGTGGAATGAACTGTAGTGTAACAAACTGAATGAATGTGTCCAATCTTACCACATTTAAAATTACGAAATGCACATGAATCAAATGAGTGAAACCTACCACGAACGAACACTGAACTGCATCGCAGCTTCTCAATGAATTGTCTGCATAACGTTGAGTACGCACTGGATTGGGATGACGTAGTAATGTAAAGGAAGTTTTTATATCCTGATGAATCATTTTACGAATTCTTCCTCCTTTACCATATTTGAAATTTGTATACGTAACATAGTCTAGTAGTAGTTCCTTGAGAACTGCATAAGGAGGTGATAGAGCCAAAGGTTTTAGTAAGCTATAAGCTTCATTTTCGATTAATGTGAGGAAATGTGCCACAACATTAACATCCTCAACATTATCCTTGGTCATAGCCCAGATTTCGAAACTTTCCAAGTAATCCTCAAAAGCATCAAAATCCGAATGTATGTCCAATCATTCCATCACAGGTTCCATCGCGACGCCAATATGATAATTAGGAGTATTTGAATTATAATACAAACTAGGAATTTCAGAAATAACGCAATTGGATCATGAAGTACTAGATAACCACGAAAGAATGTATTGTATTTGGAATTCGAAATCAAACATTCAACAAGTACAAAAGAATCATTAGTTCATACAAACACCACAAAATACTACTTGATCTACTTTTTTTCTACTGTTTTCATAACAACAACAAAAAACAACATATTCATATATTATTTCATATTAAACATTTTAGAAGAATCAGACAAGTTTTATTCAGCAGATCAAGCTAGAGAAGCACAAATTAAAAAATTAAGAAATCGATTAGAAAAATTAATAGAAGAAACTTTATCTGAATTAAATGCTGTTGAAAAAAATGATTCATTATCACCAAGACAAATCACTTGGCAACGTAAGTTATTAATGCTAATAGTGTACTTTAATTTGATTTGTTGAAAGTTAACAGTTACATAGAAAAAGAGAATACTGTTGGATAAAATGATGAGTCTTATCTATTGTTTATAAGCATTGGATTGTAATAAATTTGAAATTTGTCAAATTATTAGTTCAGTAACCTTCTTCAATTGTTATCAATCAGAATACATTTTAGAGTGTTTAAATCTTTTTTTGTACAGAAGTTAAACATGTAATGATATGAGTCTTCTCTCAAGATACAACTATTCATTTCATTCAGTTTCTAAATCCTTTGAAATGGCTGATCAATTTATACAATAAACATCGAGGTAGAAAGTAATATTTTCTAAGTAAAGAGTATTGTATAACTGTTTTTGTACCACAGTTGATAACTACAATTGAGATCATTTCAAATCTTTAGAAAGAGTCGTAACTCAGTAATAACTATATCTATGTTGGTGAATTTCTTATAGGTATATTGTACAGTTATATATAGTGCGATTCAATACTCTGTGAGGTGAAGTACACTTAGTAATTGACACAGTGACTCAGAACTCCAATAATCAATGGCAGCATTGTATCATCAAAACTGAATGACATTGAAAAGTTTAGCAACTAGACTTCTATTCAGTTGCTTGATGAGTTCGTGTTCACCTTGAGACTATTGTTTAAGTGTTATTTATAATGTATAGGTGAAAATCATAACCCATAGACCGATGATAATTAAGAGTGAAGCTGATCAGTAAACTTGTGAGTAGATTTTCTGTATAAATCATAATATAAACATAACTCATATGTTACTAGTGTATATTTCAATATAATTTAATAAAAACTGAAACTTTCGATCACAGCATAATATGCAGGAGCTATAAACAGTTTAATATTAGTATTAAAAGGGGTTTTGTGGATAATATAGTAATTTTGATAGTTGGGATTATAAGTCAGTTGAAGCTAGATCACCATGGAATACCTAGAAGCAATGGACGGCCGTTTCGTCTCATTGTGGGGCTCCTCAGCAGTGCGCATCCACAATCTCGCCTCGCGAGATTCGAACACAGGACCTATCGGTCTCGCGCGCGAACGATCAACCTCTAGACCACTGAGCCGGAATCTAACGGTGTTAATGTCTAAATTAAACTAATCACTAAAATTTCAACTTCAGTCAGTTCACTACAATAAGTGATTTCCAACAAATCCTTTGGTTTCAGGATTGAAAATATAATTTATAGTCCATTTGTTCCTGATTTGATAACTGGTAGGATTGGTTACTATGTGAAGCCCATATAACTTACTCTAGCTTCTGGACAGGCCAATTTATTAATTCTTCCTGAGTCACGTTTCGACCCTGTTAATTACTCATTTATCATCCTTGACTGTTTTTATATGAGCGTATGTGTGTTCATTTCCTATCTCAATAGTCACATGTCTATAACTTAATTCTGTCTAACTATAAATATTGATTCATGCATGATTAAAATGAGTTGACTCACACTCCCTCTCCACTGCGCGTCACTTTGTTCCACTCTCTTCTCTTCGCTTTCTTCACTTCGTTTCTTCGATCGTTTGTCTCGATTAACAATTGTACGAAATATACATATTCAATCATCCATTCTCGTATTTGACTTATTTGATTCCGTTATTTACTAAAACGAGTTAAGTCAATAATTATATACTACGATTGGCGATATGTATATCTCAATAGCAATCAGAAGCGATCAAAATGGAGTCAAATATATGTCTACTAAAAACGGATTCATTCAATCCATTTCAGTTAGTAAACACATTCTACATGAATAACTCAACAAAATATATACAGTTCCAACAAATTGCTGATAAGTCCCACAGTAGGACGAAACGGTCGTCCAGTGTTTTGAATTTTCCATAGTGATCTAGTTTCAATTGACTCATGAATTCAATTATTAAACTGTAGAATATAGCAGTTTCGTCTGTTCAGTACATTGTATTCATTATATATATGTCTTCATTCCAAAATTAAGACAGTAGTTTTTTAGTAAATAAAAAAATAACAAATTCAAAAGTGATTGCTTTTCTCTTTTTCTCCCTTCAGCAATTTGATTGGCATTCCATCTACTGTTTTTTTTATACTTTTGAAGTGATTATTTCACCTTATTACTGTCATCTTGACTTTTTATCCCCCCGTCATTAAGTAAAATGATTGACAGGTAACTGAAAACTGGGGGGATTTTTTGTCTTCTAAACCGAAAACATGAATAAACAAATTTTCAAATGATTAGAAATTTTTTTCAATATTTGAAACTGAAAGGAAAATATAAAAAATAGAGCAAATCAAATTATGTTGTCAAGTATAATAATAGTCATCATAGTAACAACTTGGATTGAGTATTAGTAATGGTAAGGATTTCAGTCATCTATTTGAAGAGTTAATAGGTTATTAAAGACTGATCAGATTCACTCTTGAAAATATTGATTAATGAGAATATACAAGTTCTGAAAATTGATAATGTATAGCAACTATCCTACAATCACTTGGTATTGTTTGGCTTGTATCTTCCCATTGAGGTTTAAGACTGCAATTGATCAACTCTGAGATGCAGGTACATCCAGCCGACGAGTCCCAAATAGAACGAAACGCGCGTCCTCGATTCCACTGCTCGCTACTATCCATCATTGCTTACAATAAGCTTGTGAATTAGGCAATATCGAGGCATACGCACAGTATGCACATATGCCAATAACAGACTGATCAATTGCAGTCTTAAACCTCAATGGGAAGATACAAGCCAAACAATACCAAGTGAATTCAAATTCACCCCATTGCACAAGTAAGTGGCTATCAGGACTCAGTAGCTGTGTGGATAACACGATGGCATTTGAAGCGAATAGTACTGGGTTCGAGTCCCACAGTGAACATCAACTGTGGGATGCAGGTACATCCAGCTGACGAGTCCCAATTAAGACGAAACGCGAGTCCTGGATCCCACTGCTAGCCACTATCCATCATTGCTTACAAAATATCCTACAATCCATTTCGATTATGGTTAATTTCGGTTAACTTAACAGACAACGTTATTTGGACAGTAACAATCCGTCTATTAATTTTTACTGTTATGATCACTAGATCACATGATAGACTCTAGCTAAAATGTTGATCGCTTAAATATCACTCTATGACTCATTCTCCTCTCCATTTATATATGTACTTAAATCTTATTATTAGCTTTTGCTGTGCATTTATACAATTTCATTATGAATTTGCTCGTATATACTTATTCGCCTCTCTGCTTCAAATTTGTTTGATGTATTTTGTAATCTGCGCTAACCACGAATAAACTGTAGTCGCCGCTTCTCATTACCTTCTGATTTTAAACACTGTTGAGATTTATTTTATAACGATTGTTGAGGTGATTGAATAACGAAACAAAGCCATTACAAATGATATATCGTGTAGTAAATAATATTATTCAATAGGATAGCAGAGATCCACTTAGCTTTTAGAGTATATCAGTAAAAGATCCTAGTATAATTAGAAAATGTTCTACATGAATATTATACGAGTATTCACTAGAAACTTTTGTTTCTGTGTTAAACATTATCAGAATAGTATCTGGTGTAATATGTACTCGGAATACTCATCTCTAACCTTGAGGTATAAATTCTAATATCCATATTTTTCACTTATAATAGCTCATTTCTACTAGGTCAGTTTTATGAGCTACATTTAAACCAAATCCTTAAAATTATAAATTTAAGAATAACCAAAGTTTATTAGTTAAAAAGCAATAGAAGACTCTACTATCATCAGTTATACAATGAAGAAACTTTCAAATCCTATTTTAGTTGCGAAGCTTCCCTAACAACATTCACTTTGTTGTTGCTATTATTATTAGTTATTATACTTCTGTATTAAACAGAATGTTGTATTAATCATAAAACCCTACCCTGTAACTAATCACTATTCTTATTAATACCTCTAGACAAAGTATTATGTGATATACGAAGTTTGTAGCAATATATACTCATTTGATCATCTTTTCTTGAAATATAAAACTCTTTAAAAGTATGATATTATTTATGATTACCTAGATGCAGCTTTCATTACAGTAGTGCTGTTTTGTTTCCGTTGATACCCCTGAGAGTTACACGAAACCATAAATACTGTATGATACTAAGAATCACAATAAATTTCCACTGTAGCTAACGAAATATAAAAATAATGTCCTCAGGTTATTCACACACATTCTACTCTGTTATAGTTTATTTAACTTCTGACAGTTTTTATGACTTTGTACACCAATATTGTTTGTTATTTAACATTGAATAAGATTATAAGAGAGAAGTAATTGTTTCCATTTTTCCTTAAGATGAAAGTGTGGGCATGAAGTTTAAAAAGAACGCCTGTCGTGAAATGAGAAATTTCATTCAAATTCTCTACATAACAACTGAAAGTAAGTGGAAGTTTTTAAATGTTCTCACAATTATATAACTATTTAGATCATAACTATGCAATAAATTGGTGCAATACATTACCGACAGTTTTATCATATATTGAATTGTTAAAACATTTATAGATAGAAAGTCGAATGTTGATAGGACAGATTGAAAGTAAGAGAAAAGCTAAGGCAATAATCAAAACGATATTAAATGCCACCACAAAGTATTAGCACAAAACAACTCTCATTCAAAACATAGGTTTGTTGAAGCCCCAATTGTATGATGGTTCAAACCCCCTTGTGTTCAAAGAAATCTGTACTTAAAGTAAAATTACCCTGGTAAAGTTGATTTATTATCTGGAGTGGTGTGTTTCATGTCCATTTACTTATGATCATTGTTTTCCTCTTATCTTTCAATCTGTTTGGTCGACCTTCGGATTTCTATCTGCAAATGTCTTCACAAGTAGATTTATGATCAGACTGTCAGAAGTGTATTGAGCCAATAAATCACATATTTCTAGTTAACTTTGCATTATCTAAATTTATCAAAAGAAGGTAACTTTTAAAGTACTTAAACTTGACATTTGTTGTTTTATCTAACTACTGATTAAATTGCTAGTAGTAAAAATAAATAAATAAACTTTTTATCGCTTGAGTAGCATTCATGTATATGGTTTACATTTTCAGGGCACTATTAGGATGTACAGTTAATTAAAGTGTGTTTACTCTGTTCAAACTAGTCCAAACAGCCTTTCAATATCAAATCATTCCACTGGTATTCATATTCATTTATTTCGGTAGGATTCTTTAACTAAATAAGCTACATTCATTATTATTTATACCTCTTATTTATTGAAATGTATATAAATCAATAGATCGTTAAAAACAAGCTATAGTGCTTATCAAGCTAGAATGAGACTTTATTTAACGAGTTTGTCAAAATAGGTTTCTTCTTGAATTAACTTAAGGATGCCAGCCCGAAATAAACATGGTATATCACGGAGTATTTCTTAAACTCTGTTGCGAAGCTTAATTTAAATCTTCATCGTGTTTTTGAAAGTTACGTTACAAGACAGATTATGACTATTTCTTTATAGATATTGTTGATTTCCACCAATTATGACTTCCTGATGGAATTTCAGGAATCTATATCAATGTTTGTCACCAGCAGGCTAACAACTGTTTTGCTAGTTTACTTCAGTTTCTTGAAGGTTTTTTGGAATAAACACATGATTTACACTTATCAAAAAGTTTGAGAATTAATAAAAAATGTACCACTTTCCACAGGCATTTGGATATTTTATTGTCAATTACAAAATGGACATTGTTTAACAAAGAGCATTAGTTTTCAAATTCAAGCAAAACATTCATTATAACATGACAGTTTTCTTGATCAACGAAGTTGAGACCATGAAAATAACTAAGGGCGAAAAGTATTCACAATTAGTTAGTCATGACCAATGAAAAACCTGGCATAAATGTGTATCTTTTAAAGTTGTCAGACGTATTAGCATAGTGATATGAATTTGCCAAGACAAATACTTAAGTATTATAAGTAGAAATGGTATTAGCTGTATTATTTTCAGTCAGAGAAGATGAGCAATGTGGTGTATGATGAAATAACATTTCTGCCTAAAATACCATTTTGATGTATCTTCCATATCATTCCTTAAGTAAAACATTGCAAAAATTTCCCCTTTCTAACAAACATCTAATCAGAAGATAATATAGCTAATCACAAGTTCTTTAAAATTTTGTTTCGTAAATCAAGTGGAGTGAATATTTTAGCAGATTGAATTTAGATCATTAATTTGACACCTCCATGGTTTATAGTTCTAACATTTTTACATATAAGCGATAAAACACTATTATCATTGATTGTTTTCAGTAATACCTATCTTACTATAGACATGGTTGAACTCATTTATTGTTAAATGACTGATATTTTGAACCATAAGATATGATGATATTAAATAATGCTTTAAATGAAAGCTTTCATTTAGACAGGTAGAAAAAGCTGTTTTCAACCAACCATTTGATGGGCACTTTCTGAAGATATACAGCGTTCTGTTTACACATCTTTTAGAAAACTTAATTACAACTAACTTCAATGACATAAAGGAGAATGAAATAGTTTTTTTGGTATAGATGATGTATCCGTCTACTTATTAAAAGTCGAGAACATTATACAGCAGTTTACTTTGTAATGCCTTATGGCTGATAAATACATCCTTAAGAAGTGAAAGACAGTCATAATTTGTTAGTATACGATTTTAGATGTCTTTGAAGTATTGGTTGAGTTCAGTGACAGCACTAAATAAGTGATAATCACCGAAGGCCCAAGTAATGAGTAGAAATGATAAACTACTTGATGATAGTAGACTTTTGTTATTAATAAGGCAGCCATCTGCACCTACTCACTCTAACAGCCAGCACCAAGGGAGTTGGAACAAAGTAATGGATCATTATATCAAAATATTACATCAGCTCACCTCTATTTTTGGCTAGTTTGAAGAAACATAATTACAATCTATCAGTTGATAATATAATATACTTTAAAATTTACTGATCAGCAATTCAGCCAACCCGAAAAAATGATGTGCTCGTGAGTATTTTGTTGACTGTAATGATTGGAATTAGTTAATTTTGAAAGCATTGAGGCCTCAAACGTATTTGTGCACCCATGAATCCGACCACCCAGATAACTTTGTTACAAGACTGGTGTTCCTCTTAACAGTAAACTAAACGATCAGATATATAAAGAAAAACTTGCATATCTACATACGAATCACAACATATCACCTCAGTAATAATGTCTCCACCCATGAAATTTTATTACGTTGGTTCTAATATCACCGAAAGCCCTAGTTCCCCCAAGATTTCAGGAACGTCTTGCCGATAAATATTAACTGACACGAGACCTAGGTTCAGATTTTCCTACAGTTTTCCTAATTTTAACCAACTGACGTTAAAACATAGTGTACTTGACGTGTAGTTACTTAGACTAACGTTCACATTGTGACGTGATCTACAGAATGTTATTAGTATCCAAGATAAAATTCTGAGATCCTAATTATTGTATAGAAAGGCAATGAAATCTTTACAATTAAGTCAGTCAGTGCAGAAGATTTAACTAATCACTAAAAATATCTTACTAAGCTACAAATATTTCCTTGATAGATACACAGATACAAGTGATGCATTTGTCACAAATAATGATCAATAATTTTATTATTAATTCACTGAATATTCCGTTTTGAGCACTTGGAAACTAATAAGAAAGTTAATACTATTAAAATTACTGATATTTCAACAAGTAATGCTTAATATTTCATCATGCTTTATTTTCTATCTACTCTCCTATATTAAATGTAATATACTAGAGGAACGAATGAGTCAAGGTATGAACACTAAGAATATTACTCCATACGTAATGGATACTTTAGAAGGTGAAATCAGTCGAATAGTTGGATATAGTGTGAAGGTACGTTTTTAATCTGATTTAAAAAAGATAATACTCTTTGTTCCTTACTCTTTCTTCTTTACTTAAACTTTCAACCATACTACTTTTATTTACTTATTTAAAAACACAAACCTTGATACAAGGATGCACCAAATAGATATGTGCCATATAAATCATTCCATTTGTGTGAGGGCTGTGATACTGCCCGGGTTCCCAAGCCAAAGCAGGTGGTTTTCTTAGGGGGCCACACCCGGAGCCTTCGACTTAAGATTTGATCCACAAGGCAATGGAGCAACGTAAGGAGATGCAATCCCATGTTAGCCGATGACCAACAATAGGTTCATACGCCACTTGTTCCCTCAGGATACTGGAGCCCATGTGCACCACTGGTTTCGAAACAGGATTTTCCAACCCCCCTAGGTGGACTCTCTGTGTCCATTAACCCAGTTAAAGAGTCAGAGATTAGCTTTGCATCATCTCAATTTTGTAAAAAGCATCCATGGTGCGAGAAGGCAGTGAGTAGGACTTCCCTGATAGTGGTTGTATGCACATGGCCATTTGAGAGCATTTCGAGAGGGAGAGCTGACTCGTCCCACTCTCGGCCATACCAGGGCATTTGAAGGCAACCAAACTACTTAATTACTAATTAACTGAATATAAAACAATCTTATGTTATACAAAAAATAAAATTGTTCTGATATATCTGGTTCCCTGATTGGTGTATTATAACCATTTCAAGATAAATATTACAAAAACTGTGAGAAATCATTCATAAGAAATATAAATAATGGTGGTAAAGAACTCAAATTCTAAACAAACTCAAGCCTAAAGAAATTAGTTCTTTTTGTTGAAAACCGTTCTCTTTAAGAACAATAAAATGGATTAAAGACCTTGAGAAAAAACGCAGTGACCTGGGCAGTATCATCATACGCTGTTAAGTTTTGCTTCCTCCGTGGAACCAGATTCCAAAATTTTGACAATCTGTTTTTATGAATTGGCTTTTATGAGCCATGCAGTTTTTATGATCATCCCAGAAGTGACTATGATGAAGACTTATTGCATTACTGATTAATGTAACGGGATATGTTCTAGTGTCCAGATATCAACTTTTTAAAAATGGAATACCCTTAGAAAAAACTCTTGGATATATTTATCAAGTTGAGCTTAATGCATTTACGAAAATGAATATGACATGTATACTCAAATAAAGCATTAACTGAAAGACCATGATTTCTACTTCTAGTATTCGGGCATATTATGATACTTAATTTTACTATCCTTGCTAAAAGTAATATTGAACAAATGTTATGATGTATCCTCAGGTTCACTTTTTCATCTATGTACACTTATGGAAACTTGAGTTCAATACTGTGTATCACGGCGATAACGTGTTGATTTTCTAGTTACTAAGTAATTCATCAAAATATTTTATTTAGTTTTTCCAAAATATGGAACTTATTTTCGATTTTGTGAATCTATGTGATCCTGATAAATGGATCACTTACTTACTTTACTTACTCCTGTTACTCCCAATAGGGCGTAGGTCGCCGACCAGCATTCTTCTACCCACTCTGTTCTGGGCCTTCCTTTCTAGTTCTGTCCAACTTTTGTTCATTCTTCTCACTTCTGTCTCCAATTCTCGGCGTAATCTGTTCTTTGGTCTTCCTCTCTTGCTTTGACTTTGAGGATTCCAAGTGAGGGCTTGTCTTGTGGTGCAGTTGGGTGCTTTCCTATCCACGTCCAGCTCTTCTTTCTGGTTTCTTCCTTCGCTGTGATCTGGGTTGTTCTTTCCCACAGTAGGGGGTTTTTATATTGATGAAACATGTTTTAGTGACCCAATATCTGACTCTAGTTAAATCATTTGCTGATTGTTATCAAATGATACATCCCACCAATCCTCGTATATTTTTATCGACTTAATTCACGTTGAAGAATAATGGGATATAATAAGTCGAATACGAGAATAAATTTTGAATACGTATATTTCATACACTAACTGATCCAGACAAACAATCGACAACAACAAGGAAGATAAGCGGAACGTAACGAAAAGAAGCATTTCGTTGAAAAGAAGCTGAAAATGAAGAGATTCGCAACGAAGTAAAACAATCTGGTTGTGACAATATTTCATTTTATATTTATGTACGATAAGTCTTTCTAATTAAACGCTACATTTGGTTCCTAAGCTCTTCTAGTAACCCCCAGGCACAATCTACACAGCGACTTGAACACAAGAAAACGCTCTACTCCAAAGGCTCGTTTATGCACAGAAAATCTAGGGTTTTTATAGTATTTTAGCTATCTTTGAATTTTGCGAAAATTCTGAAATGCTACAAAACATTGTAGCAGCATGAGTAATCACCCAATAAGAAACTCGACATGTGACTTTTCAGTTTCTTGATTTTTTTGGCAAAACTTCTAATAAACGCCTATTGGATGAGATGCTTCTCAGTGTTTTCAGAGCCCTTGTTGGCTTTTTTCGAAGAGTCTTCTAGATCCCCCAACATGAACAAAATTTGTTGCATAAAAACTACGTTCAAAATGAAATTATAATGCGCTATCATACTTAATCATATAAAATTTAATGACATTTTTAAGACAAAATTTTATTATTATTATTATTATTACTATCGATTTAACTTGGATAGGGTGTTACAGATACAAACAGTTTGGCTGGTGAAGATGATAAAGAATCTGTTACAATGGTTGATCGTGATGGTGTAGAAGGACGATTGGCTGAGATTCTTTTCAATAAAGTATTTATGAGCTTTTCTTTATAATAACAATTTTTATTATGAACTGTGACTACAGAAGAATATTTTATGAATTATTTAGGTTATGATCAATTAGCAAAGTAAATATGAATAGAGTAGGGTGAATAATAACTTACCAAAAAAGCTGAATTGATAGACATAAGATTCTGCCAGAGAAAAAATGTTAAAAGACTAAAAGACTCATCAATAAAACATAAATTGTTTCGTACAATAAAAAAATTAACACCATTGGATGCCGGTCAGCTCAGGGGTCTAGAGGTTAAGCGCTCGCGCACGAGACTGATAGGTCCTGTATTCGAATATCGCGAGGCGGGATTGTGAGTGCACACTGCTGAGAAGTTCCACAATAGGACGAAACGACCGTCCAATGCTTCCAGGTTTTCCCTAGTGATCTAGCTTCAATTGACTCATGATCTCAACCATTGAAATTATTATAATATCCGCAAACCCCTTCTGATATAAAAAAAATCGATGTATTTAAATGGGAAATATTTACTATATAAATATTCACATCTGATATTTGCATTTAAATTTAAATTTTCAAAAGATTCGGCTGCTCTAGGCCATTTGTCAGTGTATAATAATAATAGTGAGATAAGATTATGGTTGAAGGTAGTCAATAGGAAACCCTGAAACTTGATTTCGTGCTGCTTGGCACTCGTCAGCATGGTGCTCCCTGAATGATTCGATCTCGTGTCATCTTGCTTCACAGTCAGAGACTTTACCACTGGGCTATCCGGGCCGTGAATGGTCTCCAACAATATCACGCTTCGCCTAAATTAAATAGTAAATTTAAATACAAACGAAGATAACGAAACCTACTAAGACAACAAATCATAATGAGGGTCAACAAAAAGAAATGATCTGACACTCATGGAATAGCTAGGAAGCTCATTGTTGGTCCTGATTATGTTTTCTAAAATGACAAAGATACCCTAATTAAGCTGTATAGCTAACAAAACTCATCAACACTAAATTATCGTGATAAGCAAGTGGGATTTTAATAATTTGAATAAATCACACTTCTTTATGTTAATGGGACTAAATAAGTGAAAAGTTCAATGACGGAACAGAATTCCGCTTTTTACAATCAGCTGTTAATCACTTGATATGAGACATAACATTGTTTCATCTATCTCTGGTTCAAGGACCTATGATTGATGACTTACATGCATCAATGTAAGATAATATTTAAGCACTTAATATACATAACGTTTCAGTTATTCCTTATTAACACTGAGAACTTAAACTAAAAACGAAATGGGTTCGAGTCTCAATGTAATTATTAAAGGTGAGTTGAAGGTACATTTATCAGACAAGTCCCAAATAAGACAAAACGTATGTTATCATTCCACTGCATGTCACATACCAAATATACTAAGACATGTAACATAAATCTTTATTGAAACACGTACACATGGTAACAATGACTGATTAAGTGAAGCTTTAAATATCAATTTCAAAAAATTATAAGTTCTCATTAATAAGTGCCGATTGGTAATTAATTACGGATCTGAAAATTTAGTAACGTTCTGGCAACCAAACTTACAGAGGAATTCCGAGTAGCGACTACAGTTATATCGAAAGGAAAATGGTATGTGTCATATGCATCAATAACCAACCCTTAAGTTGGTATAAACAATATGGTTAAATAATGATTATCTAAAGAAAATTCAACTATCGAATAAACATTAAAAGGTAGAATGACTGGACATTAAAAAAGAGTTGTTCTATTGAGCATAGTTACACTAGTCATATACACAATTTTATCAAGATTGTGTAAACCTGATTAAAAAAATTAATTCAAAACATAAATAATTATAGGATTTGAACTTTTGTAGACTATTTACAATCCAATGAATTTGAAAACTGACTATATCATGCATGATCACTACTTATTTCATGCCAGTCAGTCAGTCAGTCAGCTACAACGTAGGACCAGGCACATATATGCAACGGTCCAAGTTGCCATACCTCATTAACACAGCAAGATGAACACTGGACTCATAAATGTAGTTAATTCAGTGACGGTAATATATAAAAGAAAGATTGCAATAAGGATATAGTACACGAAGGAAAAATTAGTTAGTAGAAAGAAAGATATGAAGCGATTTTAATCTCTTAGTTTAAGGGAAGACGGAGAGTGTATACACCGATGCCATTGTGATCGATTCCGAGCCATGTCACCAAGAGTCTCCAACCATTGGTTACGATAGTCACGCGGACCCCAACCAAGTAGTCTGCATCTACCAGCATGGCTCAGACTAGAAGTTAGTGACTTCAAGCACTGATGACACGTTTTGGTTTGGCCGCCCCTGACTTTCTTCCAATCATCCCGAACACCGGTTAGCATTGCACGTCGTGGTAATCGGTGTTCAGGCACACTCAACACGTGGCCTAACCATCTCAGTCGATGAAGATTCACAACCTCGTCGACTGATTTACCATCATTCCCTAATATCTTGCGTCGAACCTCACTATTACTTACCCGGTGATCCCAGCAGACGCCAGCAATATTTCTAAGGGATCTGTGGTCAAATACTAGTAGCTTACGAGTATCTTCTACTCTTAATGGCCACGTTTCGCAGCCGCAAATTAAAACAGAACTGACTGCCGCGCAGTATACTCTTCCTTTTATTGATAGACGGATATCTCGCCTTCGCCAAAGGTGACGTAAGTTGGCAAAAGCCAAACGAGCTTTTCGAATCCGTGCTGAGATTTCGTCAGACACTAACCCATTAGGGCTGATCAGACTTCCAAGATAAGTTAAGTTGTCAACGCGTTCGACTACTTCAACTTATTTCATGTAGTATAATGTTACTGTCAATCTAATTCATCCAATTTATTAGTCACTCTTTATTTCATTGCATAAAATATTCACGAGGATATGTATTTTTAATGATTTGTTAATGAATTTTCTTAATCCTTTTCAGCTCTATTCCGACATTAATTCTACGAAACAAGTGAGTTACTTGTTACTAACAATAGTTGAAAATGAAATAATAATTTCCAAATAATCTTAGACATAATTCATGAATATACATTATCTACAATTGATAATGATTGAAAATATGAACATTTCTATATCAACTCAAGTAGGTCATACACTCAGTAAGAGTTAAAGTTTCTACCTTCGAACTAAATATGAGATTGTCATCTCATATTGATGAAATGTTCAATTGTCGTTTGACCAACACAAATAAAATAAAAACTTTATTAAATTTAGATGAAGTTTTGTTGTCTTAGATGGGTGGTTTGTAATAATGATGTTGTTCACATGAATAATGAAAGCTTTATGAACAAACTATCTAGATTAGAGAACAAAACTCCATCTAAATCATCTACCTAAGCTACAAATCTTCTCCACTATCTCAACTTTGTTAAATATACATATATGTTCAAAATCAACTTCAATCCTTACATCACAAACGTGATTAGTAAAATTCAAAGAACATAAACACTGGAGTTCATGATACTTTTCAATCAGGATATGAAGTTTTTCAGCTAATAAGCTTCCTTTTCTTAATGCATCATTCAGTTTATAATATGTGGATATCATCAAAGATAATTTCCATGACATCATCTGATTCATTGTAAATACTTAACAATTTTCAAAAAGATACGAACTTGACACAACAACAACAACAACAATACAAAAATGCGAAAATTATTGTTGACGTTAAGGATTTGTCTAAAGGAAATTAACCACAAACCCTCACCCTTTTCTTCGTTTACTAACCTACCCTATTAATTCTATTGTTGAGGAGTCAGTTAACAAGTTACTTATTATACACAATCGGTAATGTTATTTTAACCGTGAAAATTAATCAAAAGAAAAAAATCATACCAACTCTGCAACAGAATAGTGTTTATTTAAATAGATGGGATCATGAGTCAATTGAAGCTAGACCACCATGGAAAACCTGGAAGAATTTGACGGCCACAAAACCCTTCTCTGATTATAATCATTATATGCTCACTAGTGATGGTCTCCAAGAGGTATTGCATGGAGTTTCTAGTGAGAAACAATGACCATTGCAGTTCAACCTTGTCTGTTATGAGATAGTAACTCACTGATGATATAGCGACTCACGTGCAAATGGGTTTATTCTCATTTAACTCAGTTAAGCCCTTTTGCTAACTTATTTAGCGGACAAAGCCATCCCGCACTATAACAATTTATTGTACCCTTATTATTATTTTGTGCTTGTATGAAATACGCATGCTTGAATATTGCTTACGGCCTACGCATTTATGTCACTCTGCTAGTCTCACTACTAACCACTTATTTGATTCGATTACTCATTAATTTCACATGCTATATATATGTCCACGTTATTCATATGGTTGACTCTGCTTCCTCGCTCGCTTGATTGTACTCGATCACTTACATTCGCTCAGTCGCTCGCTTGCCTGTTTGCCGTTCGACACAACTCTTAATGCTCGTTTAATGCATCTGTAATTTTGGGACATCTGTGTGTGTGGTCTCGAAATAAACGTAATCAACGCTTCGTATTCGCCTTCTGAATAATATACCGTTGGGGTTAAATAGGACGGTTATCAAGACGAATTGTATACGAAGTTTAAGGAATATATCGAATACCGACCACCACAATGACATTGTTATATGTGTCTCTGAATTTCTTGAATTGGTTGAAGTTAAACATTAACACCGTCGGATGCCGGCCAGCTCAGTAGTTTAGATTTTAATCGTTTGCACGTGAGACTAATAGGTCCTTGGTTTGAATCTCGCGGGGTGGAATCTTGGATGCGCACTACTGAGGAGTCCCACAATAGGATGAAACGGCTATCCAGTGCTTTCAGGTTTTCCATGGTGATCTAGCTTCAAATGATTCATGATCTCACTTATTAAAATTACTATAATATCCACAAAATCCTTTCTGAACAATGTTAAGTCTGTGTTTATTTTTATTTTAATTCTATCCATGTCAGCTCTTTTTTATTCTATCTATAATTTTTTTATACAATTCAATTCTCTCATCTATTAATTACTGGGTTGTTTATTTTTTTCTTTTTTTCTTTATTTCAATTTAGGAGACTGTTAAAAAGTTTTCATTTCAAACATCTAATCCCATAGTAACTAATACAAATTTCAATAAATCATCTTTCAGTTTCATGAATCAATCAAATCAAAAAGATGAACTCAATGTAACAGAAGGTTTTCCAATTCGAATGGAATATTCTTTACCATATAATGAACAATGCGGTGAGTATTAATACATAAAAAAAAATTTTAAATCTTAATAAACGTTCAAAACTTTTCTTAAATTCTTCTGTAAGACCACAATTAAGTGATCAAGTAAAGTATTGTTTAGCCAATACACGTCAACTGAAAACAACACATCCTCATAACCTATACTATGCTGCATAGCCTAAATGATGTTCAAAAGTGAAACTGATATAATGATCAACTCGAGATATGTCAAGTGAGAATTAAGTCTAATAGTCAAATGTTTATCTCATTAAAATTATGAAATTCTTTCCTTTAAAACTCCTCATCTTTTCTCCTGTGCTAAATATCTTATTCATAAGTATGTGATTTTATGAGAAAAAGACTTTTATCCCAAGCAGCTACATTATAGTTTGTTTTCTATTCAATTTATGGCTTTCATCAATAATTCATTCTTATGATCAGACAATACTCGGCTACACTGTATCACATCATATTGTCAATCGATTGGTATTTCTTCATTCATTTCAAAAGTATAATAATGATAATTATAACACTTCAAACTTTCTATGTAATAAAAACTTAGAAGCTGATAAACACTAAAATAAGTCACCACATCTTCTATGGTAGATTTGCATAGCTTATGAGTTCTTCAAGATTAATACTTAATTCTTAATAAGGAGGCAACTAAACTTAAGATTCCTTTCATATAAGATTAGCTATTATTCAATGAATTACTAATGATATTATTTAATTAAGAGTATACATTGAGCAAATGAAGAAAGAAATGGATCCTCATCACATTGGCTATATTAAATGAAGTATACATATTGTGTATCATTTTTTATTATATCACAGTAAAACAAACATTTGCTTATCGATTCAAAATGGATTCAGCATTCTATGATGATTTCCAATATTAAGTTTCATATGAAATTCTAAGCAAATGTTTAGTTGTCACTGATTGAATCACTAGGATACTCTATTACTACTATGATTTTATATCAGGTTATTATTCCCTCTATATTGTTTTACTCTTTTTCATATCCCTCTTCTACCCCACCCCCATCAAACATTTTAGAACTTCAATGGTATAAATTAAACAATAAAAATCAACGAGTCCCAGTCAAACTTGATTTTCGTATTGAACATGTTATCACTGGTGCAATTCATATGTCATTCAAACAACATCAACAATTAAATCATCAATATCCAAAACATCCATTTGTTTTGTCAAATTCAGGTTTGATTACAAATGAAACAAAACAAAAATTGAATCAATGGAAATGTAAATTATTAGAATCTGAATCAAATACTAATGTCAATAATAATAATAATAGTGGTAATGAAATCATCTACCTACAACATCATCTCATCATATGGGCAAGTAAACCTGATGATGCTGGAAAATATTTTGCATCAAATCAATATCCATCGAATACAGATGGTATATCATCAACCGAAGAGAAGGAATTTATACTACAAGTAATAAGTAAGTTAATTATTTTTATTTGTACAATTTAGAAGAAAAATAAACAAACAAACACGATATTTACCTTGTAGTAAGAGTAAAATTTGTTAAGCTGCAGCAATTAGGATGACTCTCCCAGTCTCCCACATTGTAAGAGCATTCCATGTATCTAAATTAATGGTTGCTCTGATTCTCAGAAGGAGTACCAGCCTCGTGAATTTCAAAGGAACTCGGCTTTTACTATGAGGCGTCATAACTCTTCTATATGAAAACCTTCTAACTCCCAGGGCAGAGTTTAGATGGTTTGAATTAACTTTCCTGGTTAGCGTTTGTTTAGCGAGTTAGTTTTCTACGGGATTGGGTCGCAAACACCATGCCCAACCCTCTCCCTTCATCCGGGCTTGGGGCCGTCATTAGCCCCAGAGGGACCCCAGGAGGAGTTAAGCTAGGTGAAACAAACTCTGTTCCTTAAAGACAAAAATATTTTATTTTCAGTATCAATTCACATACACGTTGTTAGTTATATATCTAAGTTATTAATTGATAAACGATTAACTCTACAATATATATTACCCATCAACATTACTCAAATTGATCTCAGGCAAATCTTATAACTGACTTTATTTATATGTTTCTTTTAAAGAGTAATTGAGAAGCCTAAATAAGACAATAAACATTCTGAATACGTTTGAACGATCATTTGCTTTATTATCGTTTTGATTTTTGTAGGGTTTAAACTTATTAAAACCTATGGAATCTAGTAGTAAACTAGAAATTCGATATTCCAAGTATATGATATGAAGACTAGAAGTTCAGATTTATACTTTGTTAATGATAGGATAAACCGTCGACAGTTATTACGTACAAAACAACAGTACTGGAAATATTTCACTAAAGCGGGCAAATCCATCTTTTTGATTCATAATGGCAACGAAAGCAGTCAGATATAGAAAAAAATTAAGAATCTCAATTTATTTCGACATCATGTATGTACTCAAGAAAATGACTAATTACTGATAGTTAACTTTATCAGTTCTTTGATTCGCCTATAACAATGGGCCTGTAAGGTGAAATAATCCATTACTCAAGGCAATGTAGTAATTATGATAACAATTGCTCTACTCAATACCATATGTCTGATCGTATCAAAGAATTCTCAATGCAAAGTATGTAGTATCATACTGAATTTCCCATTTTATAATCATTTAAGTAGTGGATATTCTGCTATTATTATCCAGTTGTAAACATTTGTGGTCAGTCTTATTTCCATGGCATTACATTGCATGTATGTAATCTATCGTAACCATTTCTCGTTTTTAGACTCAACAGAAAAGACAGAAAATAAATAAACTAACTTAGAAGTACTTTAGGCTTTCTTAATAATCAGATTTGCGATAGGTAGTAAACACTTTATTAAGATGTACAAGGGGATGCGGCTGGCAGTCATAAGTGAGTACAAATCCACAAACAGTAACACCTATGATAGTAAATGCATATTTGGGAAAATAGTGACTCAGAAGTCTGAGCTGGCAGTCATGAAATACATTGAAGTATATCACTGAAAGATATTAATGAAAACACAACTCGTAAAGTGATTGTAAATGATCAGAACTTCTGTAAAACCTCTTGTGTTCCTCTTATACAATAAATTATCATTCTTTGTGAATATTCTTTACATGAATACATGTATAATCTCGACTAAGGTTAAATAACGTAGAAAATACATATATATTTAGGCTAAATGCTTTTGTTATTGTTACTTCTATGAGTTGTCTGGTTAATGACAGGAATATAGAAACACATAGCAACAACGAACCCATACAAAAACAATCATTTACAAATCAGATCAGTGGAACTAAAGGATTTAAAACATTTGCAACAATTCTAAATAGACTCAAATCTAAGTTAGGTTGACAGTGATTTTTCTGTACAGAACGATAATAAAAGTTTCACAATTAAATCATGTTGCACAGAGAAGTTAGAATCAAAAATAGCATCTAAGAAATCATATTGTTTGTTAAAACAATACTAGCTTATGATCAAGTTTATTTTACTGCTTACATGCTGAATAAACTATAAATTTCATTTGATATCTCTTTATTTTAAAAAATTCAGAATCCAATCAATCATCAGGCAGTCCACAATGTTCACCAGAATTTATTGAACCTCTTATAGTACAACCAATAAGCAGTGCTACTAGTGATCCTTTTATTGAAATGACATGCATAGTGACAGGCAATCCTATACCAAGATGTTTATTATACCGAAATTCAGTACCTATCCCAGTGGTTTTAATGCCTTTTCTCAAAATCGAACCTAATGATCCACTATCTACATTGAGTTCTTTAACGCAAAAATACACTGTCACAACATCATTATTTGATTTAAACAAATCAGATCGATCAAACAATTATACAAGAAAGATTACACTACGTCTTAATCGACCATCCAGTTCAGAAGACATAGCCACCTATAGTTGCCGTGCATGGAATTGTCATGGTCGAACTATTACATCAAGTGTTTTATCAATGCAAGGTAAACATTAACTAACTTTCTTTTTATTCATATTGTAATCACATTTTTCTAAAGAATTTCTGTAATCTGACTGTAGTTTCCTTTTCATTAGGAGGAGCAACTTGAATGCTCTCTAAGGCATTCATAATCAATTGATAAAGTAGTGAAACTTCATCAGTTGAGATGGCTGAGACACGTGTTACGTATGCCCAACCACCGATTGCCTCGACGTGCTGTTTTATGGTGTAGGAGTAGGTTGGAAGAAAGCTAGGGGCAGTCAGACGAAAGCATGGCACAGATCCATGGAGTTACTGACAAGTGGACTGAGTCATGTTGGTAGGTGTAGACTACCTGGTTGGGATCGGCCAGATGATAGCAACCAATGGTTAGAGACCTTGAATGACATGGCTCAAAATCGTTTTCAATGACGCAGGCGGAGTCACTCTTTGTGTTCTTCCAAATTCTATTCTTCTGAGTTCTTCATGTCCGTTTTTTTCTTTTTCCAAATCTATTTCACTCGATTATACTCACTGAATAACATTTTTATACCCTAATTTTTCCGATGGCTACTTATACTTTTTCTACCTCTACCACTATGGGATTTGAATGGACAATTGTATCTGTGTGATAATGTGGTATGGCTACTCGAACTGATGTACGTATGTACGAGGTTCTACGTTGTTACTGACTAGCTGAATAATTTATACTGATTACATTATTTAAGAAGGATTAATTAACTACCTTTTCTATTCTAATCAATTATAGTTGAGTAGGTTTTCTTGAAGTATTTTCCACAACTGTCAGCTTGAGAAAACATTTGATTTGATTCCAAGGAATTCAAATGATTCTAACTGAAATTTTTGGTAACTCGATTTCTGCTTCTAATTTAGTTATAAATTGTTTATTTTCCCAACGACAACAAAAATGGTCTCATCTGGAAGAACTTTCCTTCATAACTTCTTAAAATGAATCAAATAACTGTATATAATATGCCTCAATTCATTTGTTCCACATGACAAGTTAAATGAATCTCAAATGTTTGTCAGACATAGTTAAGTAACTAAAGAATTATGTAATCCCAGTAGTTTCATAACGATCAGTCATTAGATAACTTGTGTAATTTATGTAAGTTATGACCTCTATCCTACAGATTGTATATGTGTAATAGTTAAGTTGACATTGATCATAAACATTTATTTAATTACTATCTATCTATCTATCTATGTTTTTCTTTAAAATCATGATTTAACTATTCATTGTTTAGATCACTTCGCTAAATTCGATTGTCCCTTAGAAAAACCGAATATGAATGACAATATCGATATGGTAAAAATTGATTCAATTCAATCAGCAGTAAATACTTCTCAAAACGTTCGTGATGTAAGCTTGTGTTCTATGTAAAATACATCATCTTTCATACAGTTACATTTTCAAATTACCTCATAATTGATCATTTATTACAGCTTAATAATAGTAGTGTAAATCAATTGTTAACTGGTCACATTATACTTTATTTGACATACCTACAAAGGATAATGAATGTGATGGCTTTTACTGAAGTGTCATTGCAAGACAATATTCTTATGTGATTCTATTCAAAAACGCTTTGCATGATGCTTAAAAACTAAATCGCAGGATTTTTTTATAACCTTGTAACCAGTTTACTGTTGTATTCTGCAGCCCGATCTCGTCATCATACCATTTCCAAGCTTTTTACCAACTTGGTATGTAAGAAATAATCAATAAAACAAAATGAGCTTTATAGCTAAAAGCCTAATTCTCATATTTGCAACTCATTTGTATAAACAGACTACTGAACCAACTCAAATATGGAGATTTGAGTGATGATGTTAACTTAATAAAGAAATCACTCAAAAAAAGCCAGCTGAAACTTATCGCTTATGTACCACGTAACTCTGGATTTACATTTGATCTAGTCGGAATTCCCCAACCTAACACTAACTTTGTAGTCGGAATAAATCAATTATAAGATATTTCTCTATTGTACTGAGCTTTAAGAGTTGAAACCCTTGGTGATATATGTATTCTTTTAAAGTCATAGATATGACTGGTTGTTCATCTTCAATAAGCACGAAAATAAGAAAAAAATCAACCAATGTAGCTAATTCTCTAAAGTTACCTATGACTAAGGTAATGTTTTGACTGCATTTTCAGTCGTGATAGCTAATACAATTCTATTTGGAATAAGTCTGTTGAATCCACATACAATGACGTTAGTATTTTCATCTAGACCATAACCTTGTACCTATAATTTAATAGCAATAGATATTATCTGACGAGCTACCATAAACTATGGAACCGGCCATTATGGAAACCGATAACTCCATATATACTTGCCAATTACTACGTTGTTCGACTGACTGTTTGTTGTTAAAGTTTGAATATGATCAAATCTAACAATCTTTCAATGGATATATTGGTACTGCTTGTATTTGGTAGTGGCTAGAGTAAAGGAATTCGCTAAAAGAACAATATATAGCATCTCAATTCAAGCCTAATCAACTTACAACAAGAATAAATACCAGTAAAATTTATATTAGACTATCCTATGTAAATTATACATAATTATTAACGAATACTATGTCCTTCATGATATGTACAACAGTATGGTTGTATACAAAATAGGAACATGTATGACCTGTAGTCCTACAATCATTCAACATTAGTATTGTTTAAGATGGTATTGTGGCTAGCAGCGAGATCCAAGATACGCATTCTGTACTATTTGGGACTCCTCTGCTGTATGTTCCTTTATCAGCAAGTTGGTCTTCACACTGAAACTCAAACCCAAAACCTATCGCTACAAAAGCCAAAGAATTTTTCACCGGACCACTGAATTCAAACAAGTGATAGCTTTTCCCAGAGGGTGCAATACTTATTCGTGAGGGTTTTTTATACACTCTCTGTTAATTTATTTGACCGCATTTAATCAGTATTTATCAGCATATATGCACCCTCAGCGGATACATAAACACCAAAGTTGGTAACAAAAAAGATAATATCGAGGCGTCTGCTCAAGATCTACATGTCTCTATAAAGAATAATCAGGATTCAGTATTAAATATCAATAACTGAATAGCGCTTACAAAAATCGTTTTAATTTCTTCTCACTGATGGACCCAAGAAAACAGACAGTTACACATCTATCTTTGGAGAAAAATTCCCAACAAATTTTTGCGTTCAAAGAAATGAGAATAATATTTAACTATTTAAAAGACTAAATGAAGTCACAAGGAAACTAAGTGTTTACATTTATACTACATCACACAGACTCCTATCTTAAAGTAATTAAATGCTAGAGTTTCAATGGTTTTATTAATCCAACTTCAAATAAAAATCATAAATGTGGTGAGGTGATAGTAGGACATCGAAGACTGTTTCATCTCTGAGTAGGAAGCAAACATACTATCTTTATTCAACAAAGATTCCATATGTTTACCTAAAGAATTTCAGTAATGAAAGTTATATCGGTTTTTGATAACATGATTTTTTGTGTATCGCAAATACAAAATCCTATAAATGCATCACCAGACACAAGAAATATCATACTTAGAACCTTATATAAACCACTGGTCAAGTGAAATAATGATACATGCAATTAATTAACCTAAAGCCTAAAAACAAACAAACTACTAATTACATATCTATTAAAATCCATTAAAAGATTCTAACCCACCGATTAAGTTGCACAAAAAACCTCCAAATCAAATAGTGAAATATAACTGTAAGACAGAACTCAAGTCCTCAGTTATTAAGGCGGAGATGATAAGTCAAAAGTATAGTCAATGAAAATATATCTTTACAATTCAGAGGACACCACAAAGCTGTGTCAAAATAAACAACCTGTCCGAAAGAACAAATTTTTGTTAGTAAACAACACACATAATAACAGGGAAAAAAGGAAATATTAATACATATAAGTAGTGTAAAATAGATTTCAAAACACCTTGAAAGTACGAAAAACCGATGAATTATCTGCTTTCATTGACTTTAAATAATTTCATAAAGAAAAATTCGAATTGAAGTTAGACATTAACGCCGTTGGATCCCGGCCAGCTCATTGGTCTAGTGGTTAGACGCTCGGGCGCAAGACCGGTGAGTCCTGGATTCGAATCTCGCGGGGCGGGATCGTGGATGCGCACTACTAAGAGTCTCATACTAGAACGAAACGGCCATCCAAAGCTTCCAGGTTTTCCATGGTGGTCTAGCTTCAATTGACTCATAAGTTCAACTATTAAAATTACTATAATACACGCAAAACCCCTCTCTGATTATAATCATTATATGCTCACTAGTAACGGTCTCCAAGAGGTATTGCATGGAGTTCTAGTGAGAAGCAATGGCCAGTGGAGTTTAACCGGATCTGTTGTGAGATGGTAACTCACTGAATACAATGGTGGATGTGTCGCTCAATTTCGTGAATTAGTTGAAATTAGACATTAACACTGTTGGATGCCGGTCAGCTCAGTGGTCTAGATGTTAATCGTCTGTGCGCGACTCAAAGGTCCTGGATTCGAGACCCGCGCGCGGGATCGTGGATGCTCACTACTGAAGAGTCTCATGCTAGGATGAAACGGCCGTACAGTACGTTCGAGTTTTCCATGATGGTCTAGCTTCAATCGACTCACGAATTCAACCATTAAATTACTATAATATCCACCAAAACCCTTTTCTGATTTTAATATGTGATATTGATCATTCAATATTGAACTACATCGTGAAATATTTCTTTGGCTGGTGCATTCTCTTCAAGTTTGTTTGTTTTTTTTTGAAAATTCATTCTAACATGTGGGCTTACTGAATGCTCTTTGTGCACACAGAAATACTTGTTTAAATGATTTTTGTAGGAGAAGTTTTGCGTTTTTGTTTTATATTTTTAAACTTTTTATCTATTCAATGAATTTTTTCCAGAATGGTGATGCTCTGATCAAAAAAGAAGAATTCCCTCTCATTACCGTATTAAGTGATTCACATGACAGGTATGAGATTTATATCTATTAAGTGACTTGAATTGTCTATCACTTAATTATCAATGATGTGACTACTTAAATAATGGACCTTAACTAATATTCATTTAGCGTTCACGGTTTTAATATTTGAACATTACTACTGTCAAACAATCAGTAGCCAAGGTGCCTAAACACAAAAATTCACTAATAATATTCAACTACTGAATACTTGAAAGCCCTAACTGTAAATTTGGAAATTTTGACAATCAATTCGTCGTAATCATACAGAGATAAGAGGTTAAACTATATAAATCCCAGTCCTGTTTTTTTCAAGTATGTGAATCAGTACCTGCTATGGTTTGATTGTTTCTTCTTGAATCTAAACGTAATATCCAAAGTTTCCATCAACTCATTTACTGTACGTCTCATTGAATTAGTGTAGATACAATTCCTGTTAGAGTTAAATATTTAAAAATTATTGACATTCATAAGTATGAAATATCATTATAGTAGTAGGACATGGATAAGAAGCAATTAAGAGTAAGATTATCAATTAAATAAACGTAGTAATCCCGTTGAGATGGTGAAGATTTGTAGCTCAAGTGGATGATTTTGGTGGAGTTTTGTTCTCTGAGCTGTTCTCTGAGTAGTAATCCCTCACTTTACCATCAAGTTGGATTCTTATGAACTCAGTTATCAAATATTTGGTATTTGGTAAATTCCTATCGTATATTCACTCAGTTTTGATATGCCTAATACAAAGGTCATTATAATTTAGGAATACTTAAATGTAGTTAGTAAACTCTATGACTAGAAACTATATAAGGAATATTTCCTCATGAAGTGTATTTCTTAAACGCTATAGACTTGACATTATTTTCTTAACCATTAGGAGATCTTGGTCACGATCATAGTCTGAAAACTCTATGAGACAAGTGATTCTTGTTATTTATTGACAGGATATAAATTTATTAAGTTTATATTGCATACATAAATCGTTATCATTGAATCTTCTGTATCCACTTTTATATCATAAAAACCTTTCAATAAAGTTACTTATTGTAAATTCTAAACATGATTTCAAGATTCAGCAAATTTCTATGTATGAAGTTCCATGAAACCACTTAACGAAGTTATTAACTTGATAACATTGGCTTAGACATATGTGAATAGATCAGCAGTAATAGTATTAACAATAACATCAAGAAAAGGTCATTTTGAATCTTAAGGAGTAACTGAAATCAAAGGTGTAGTACGTTTTCTTTCAAGATTTCCGATGAAACTCAATAATGATCATTAGGACTTTTTTAAAAAAGATATTTTAGGATTTCTGTCGAATTACACTGTAAAATTGTTAATGCACTAATCGATCACTGAGTAGTTATGATTATGGTGTTTATCGAATTCTTATAGTTAACCCTACTCTTTTGATCAATTTCTAATGTGATCACTAAGCTAAGTAACTCAGTAAGGCAATATATCATGTTTGAATCGGTAGGTAATTGGATATTATTCCCACGATACTACAATGCCAAGTTTCATGTTAACTGACACTCGTTAACAAAATTTATCTGCAATTTTCGAGAGAAATTATCCTCCAAGTGAAACAATAAAGAATTCTTTGCTATCGATTAACAACTCGTGTAATATCCAGTAATAAAACTTTATTTCTTGATTTCGTCTAATTATCTAACTTCTTCAATGTATTCAGATGGGATGAAAATTTCATAAATATATATCAATATTCTTTTATTTTTACTACCGGGTTTTATAAACTTATTCTGATTATCCGTTTTTACACTTGTAGTATCAGTGAATTCAAACGATTTGAACCGGTAAGTGGTTTCTATACGTTATATATATATTTAGCTGATCCCCTTCATTCATTCGCCCATGAAGAGAATTCGATTATCATTTTTACTTAATTAACTTATATTTAAGGCGAAATAATAAACGTGTCTTTAGTATAAAAACTTTATGTATTTCTACAATACATCGTACTTACCAATAACCATTTGATTTAGGATTGTTAAATGTCAATGACTAAGAACTCCAGATATAAGGCCAATGTTGGTTGACACTAGTTACCAAAGTGTATTTAAAATCTACCCGAGAAAGTGGTAGTTGTGTTTCAGAAACCTCAGCGGTAACATCTTTGAATGTGACATTGAACAAAGTGGGTTTGAATCCCTTTTAGATCAGTAGTCTCCTCAGGAATGAAGATATACTGTGCTTACGCAAAACTAAACAGTATTCTTCCATATATCTAATATCACTTAACATTAAACGTACTGTATTGTTAAATTTAATCACTCAAACTACTTCCTGATTCCACTGATTAATTATAAGTAAACAACTCAATGATAATTACTACTGAGAGGATAGAGAACGTTAATCTTCGCTTTGAAAAGGATAAATAAAGAAAGGAACTGGACGGAACTTCGTTTTCCGGCTGAGTTATAAGAAGGTGATACAAAAAATTACCATCTAGTATTGACCAGTCTGGGTAGAATAATTATCATAGCAACCTATAGAGATAAACATTAGTTATCCTGTTTGCTGCACCTATCAAAAAAATAATTAGTATTTTCAATGAACAAATTATTGATTGTTAATGTGATAGAAATACCCTAGTTGGCTAAAAAAAAATTGAAACCTATTCAATTTACAATTGATCGATCACTGAGTGGTGATCAGTGACATGTGTGTTAGGTCCTTCTTAGTGCAGATCGAATCCTATCGATCAAGTTGCAATGTGGCCATTAGTCTAGGTAACTTGAAATTGCGTGCACTATGTTGAGATAAGATGGTGGTTGAAGGTAGTCGACAGGTAACCATGTACCCAGGTTTCGTGTTACTTGGCACTCGTCAGCAAGGTGTACTTGTAATCTTGAGGCAACTGATGCTCCCTGACGAATTCAACCCCGTGACACACATGACATTGATCACCACCCAGTTATCAATCAATTGTAAATACATCTCAGTTCTACAGGAGGTTAGTCGCCTCTCGGATAGCTTAGCTGTAACGTATCTGACTCTGAAGCTGGGTGACACGGGATCGAATTTATCACAGAGTACTAGTTCCCTCAAGATTATGGACAAACTTAATCAATGTTTCTGTGGTTAATTACTCGAACATTCCTAAACAAAAAGTCCCCGAAATATTGGTAAATACCCAATAGTATATTTTAAAGAAATTGTTTTTTCCAAATTCTCACTGAACAAATTAATACATCTTTGCTTGCTTAAACTAGAAATATTCAAGTTCTATCATTGAAATATCTCCTGAAAACCAATCCATCGATGTTAAGTAAGTTCACTTGTTCCATTAAGATTTCCTTTTTGTTTTTATCTCTTCGTACCAACAGCCATCTTCTAGAAGACACTATCATGATTTGAGATAGTTACATGGTTACAGTGAACACTTGATTGACTACTCGATTAGCAGCACACAGTTGGTATGAACCAAATTCGCTGTACATGATAGGCTATGATAGAAAATTAGAAGGTTGTACTGATCACAAGAATAATTAATATATATACTTCACTTGCTTGTGTGTCAACAAAACAGGAAATCATCTTCATATCTAATGCAAATCAAATTGACATAACTCACAATCTCAATAATGTTGTTCAAAAAACTCCCTTCAGTATTCTCTAATGATTTCGTCTGAACATTACTACAAGTTTTGCTATTGAAACATGTAGCTTAAAGAATAAAATATCATTATAAGATACCATAAGAGTTAATATCTATTCAAATATTGATTGTGTGGAACAATATCACTTGTTACTCTACACTATATTGTTATATACTCATCTTGATATCTACTATAACTATCTAATATAACATCATCAGCTGATGACGTCGTTCAGAAGAACGATAAAATCTCCATGACTAGACCATCCAGCTCGGAGAACAAAACTCCGTCAAGATCTAATCCATCATCTCAAAGTAGTTTACTTTTCACACTTCTCGTAATACATTCAATGATAAACATTACGAAGCATTAGTTTTTACATTCTCTAATCGATTTTACACTATTCTAATAACTTTTATATAAAATGAAATAAGATGTAACACAACATGTAGTTTTATAAAATATGTATTAGTATAAATCAATTATCTATGGACAAAGTTTCCATTGTGAACTTTATAGATTATAGCAAGTTCAAAATCCCAATATGTTACTCAATTCTACCCTCAAACAAATTTCATACAATTAGTTCCCTTGACAAATTATTCAATTTATTATGAAGAAGAACTGGAATTCTACATGTACTAAGGGATCAATCTGTTTCTGTTCTTTTTTATTAATCAGAAGAGAAAACAAAATGTTAATAGGATTAATGAGTAATGGTACTCTAGGACCTTGATATCTATGTAACAAGGCTCGAATATACAAAATGGTTATCAATGATTTTACTAATGATTTTTTCCAGTTAGAACTACCGAATAAGCAATAAAGGAGTTTAAATATAAAGTTGTAGATAAGAAGATAAGTCAGTTGAAAGAGATTATCAACTTAAACTAACTGATGTGCAATTAATTGTGTTGCGTAATCCAAACGATTAAGAATGGTTATTCTGTTAAAATGTCAATAAACTTCAATGAGACTACAGTTGTTATTCACTTATAGTTTATCAATTGTATTATTATTTCAGTCAATAACTTTCAATAAACTCACACGATCCCTAATTAATAATTACGAATAAATTTAATAAAGACTATATATTTTTAATAGTTAGGACCATGAGTCAGTTGACGCTAGACCATCATGGAAAACTTGGAAGCACTGGACGGCCATTTCATCCTATTGTGGAACTCCTCAGCAGTGCGCATCCACTGTCCTGCCTCATGAGATTCAAACCAGGGCTTCCAGGTTCTTCATGGTCGTCTAGCTTCAATTGACTCATGATCTCAACTACTAAAATTACTATAATATCCATAAACCCCTTCTGATACTATGTTTTTTTATTTACTGAATGAAAAACCTTGTTCTATATAAATAATTGCAATTATACATAACTTGTTTCACAATTATTTATTTGACAGTATGAAAACCTCTACTGTGATAAAAACAGTAAGTTTTCTTCCATTCATAACCAATTATTTCTTTAACAAACCATTTATAGTGTTATCATTAAGTAAATTTTCCCATCACTTTTTACGTCGAAAATTAAAACTTATTTACTTAATTACGCCTGTTACTCCAAATGGAGCATAGGTCGCCAACCAGCATTCTACAACCCACTGTGCCCTGGGCCCTCCTTTCTAGTTCTATCCAGTTGTTGTTCATTCTTCCCATGTCTGTCTTCGTTTCTCGGCGTAATGTTTTCTTTGGTCTTCATTTTCTCCTTTGACACTGAGGATTCCAAGTGAGGGCTTGTCTTGTGACGCAGTTGAAAGCTACTAACGTTTTAATAGGACTTAATAGTTTATTCATTTTATGACCAACTAACTCAAATCATCTCTAAAATTCGTTTAAAGTAACGAGATTAATCATATTGTCATTATAGGGTTGTGGAGACTGAATTTCAAAGAAATCATGGACCGATCAATAATAGACCATCATTGAAAACCACGAAGCATTAGACGAATGTTTCGTTCTAGTATGGGACTACTCAACCATGCATAACCACAATCCCACCAGCAGGAACCGAACCTAAAACCTTCGGTTTCGCGCCCAAACCCTTAACCTCTTGATCACTGAACCAACATCAAGTGGAGTTAATGTCTAAATTTAAATGATCCACGATATTGAGCGACCACCTTCTATCTTCTTAGTTGAATTAGTGCCTCACACTGAACATAGATTATATCCACTGGTCATAGCTTCCCACTAGGTTTCCGAAAATTTTCTCTAGAAGTTCGTCACAAATGAGCATACGATAACTTTCAGTATGAGATTGTGGAGATTGCTGAATTTCATTCCAAATCTTCATTGATTGTCCAACTTAATGAAATTTATCATTTTTATTAAGTTCAACAAATTTCAAGTGTCAAATAACTCGTCAGCGAATTTATAATGAAGGGGACGAAATGGCTGTCCAGTGCTTCCAGGTCTAGCTTCAATTGACTCACGATCTCAACTATTAGAATTACTATAATATCCACAATACCCCTTCTGAAATTAATAATGAATTTTTTATATCCTGTTCACCCGAATTTAATCAATAATAAATCCATATTTGTGTACAGTTGAATGATCTTCAAAAACTTTATTATCATAATAGGCTCATCACAATTTAATGTTGAAATCCTTAACTTTTCACCAAGAAACATGCTAAACATTCCAAGGAATTTCGGTCAATTCAAATCTCTATTCGGACACCTAGAATAAAACTGTCTGAAAACTTAAAACATTTCAAACAATACGAAGTTATTGAAATTAATTTTTAATATGACTCCAACAATGAACATGTGGTAGACCTTTTCGCATGCTAAGCGAGTGGGAGCCATAACAAAGCAATTTTGACACGTATGGAAGATGGCTGGGACGCCAACTCCATTTTAGTCAAGTGTTACTCCATATTTATAGTCAGACAAAATAAAGCTACAGACATGTGATTAACATGATAAGAAGGGCACACACATATACGCTCATATAAAAACAGTCTAGATTGATAAGCGAATAATTTACAAGGTCAAAGTATGGCTCGAGTAGAATGAATAAAATGGGATGTCCGGAAGCTAGAATAAGGTATATGGGCTTGGCATAATAACTGACACTACAAACAACTACTAACTTTTAAGAGATTGAGTCTTCAATGGACACAATACAGTTAGGTTAATTAAACAAACTAATTATATGGTTTCTAACTAATTCCATTTCTTGATATAGAAATGCCTTCAAATTAGACTGAGATTTTTATTTCAAAAATTCGAATTTAATAAGAACAAGTGTACACTCATCAATATGCTGATCGTGATATATTTTCGAGGTCTTCAATGAAATCCACACTGAACACAAAATGAAGCTCGTGCTACACAGAGTATTGATTGTCTTTAGTAAACATGGATTATCGTGGTTCTTCCACTTCACATTAGCTTTATTCATTTAAAGCTGAAATCAGTTTACAATAGATTTTTAACGTTAAATAACTGATAACTTTGAAAACTAATCTAACCTTATTAGAAAAGATTACATCATAAATTGATTCAAGACTTTTATTATCAAATGAGGCTGCGTACTAATCAAGGGGTAAGGAAGAAAATGATTTATGGGTCCGACATGAAGAACAACAAACATAAAGGTCATAATAATAAACTGAATAATAATCGAGCAAACTTGTATAATTTTAATAGTTCAGATCATCAGTCAATTGAACCTAGATCACCATGGAAAACGTGGAAGCATTGGATGGCCGTTTCATCCTATTGTGGGACTCCTCAATAGTGCGCATCCACGATTCCACCCCGTGAGATTCAAACCAAGGACCCATCAGTCTCGTGTGCGAGCGCTTAACCACTAGACCAATGAGCTGGCCGGCATCCAACGGTGTTAATGTCTAACTTAAACTAATTCACGAAATTGAGTGACACATCCAACAATGTCATCAGTTAGTTACTATCTCACAACAGACACGGTTGAACTCCACTGGTCACTGCTTCTCACTAGAACTCCATGCAATACCTCTTGGAAACCGTCACTAATGAGCGTATGTTGATTAGTATCAGAAGAGGTTTTGTGGAGATTGTATTAACTTCAATAGTTGAGATCACGAGTCAATTGAAGTTAGACCACCATGGAAAACCTGAAAGCACTGAACGGCCCCTTCGTCCTATTGTAGGACTCCTCAATAATAATAATAACTGATTCGAGTTTAAAATTGCAAAACATATCTAACCCATAAATTATTTGCTTCCTTACCCCTTGATTACATACGTAACCTCATTTGATAATAAAAGTCTTGAATCTATTTATGATGCAATCTTTTTTTATCCTCCTATAGATATATACTTCCCATATAACTAACCTTGTTAATCTATTTTTTTTTCTGTTTTACCTGAATGTTTCTCTTTGTTGTTCGTCCCATTTTATTTTATCCTAATACTTCTTATGTACATGTATATGTATGCATATATAAAAATGATTATGTTTTTATCATCCTTTTGATTGTTACAAATACTTAACGCTTGAACATTTCATATATTTATCATATTAAACACCAAATTGATCTTGTTATATAACTGATCCATTGGGTGACTGATTTTCCTCATTCTCTATATCCGTCATTATTATTAATTTAGCATCGTTGCTGTAAACAGTGTACTATGATATGAAAAATTATGAAATATACTTTTTTTTAAGTAATGTGTGATAAATTATTCATTGTTACCATTTAAAATGTATAAAAACTGTATATATGACGAATGATGATGATTGTAGCGGTGACCGTAAATATTCAAGTCATAGTACTAAACACAAAAGACTCCATTAGAATGAATGGCGAGACTATAATTAATGAACGAACCAATCAGGTATAAGATAACAGGTCTCGGATTTGGGAGCAAAATTCATTCATCCATTTGGATAAATAGAGTTTTGGCATTATAGCTGATGTCAGTTCGTGATGAAAACCCGATATGTAATTCCTCAGATTAATCATCGACTGTAGATTATAATTCCAATTTCTCACATAGGTTCATAACTCTCATTTGGTCCTGGTTATTAAATGAACACTCTCAAGGTCAGTCTGGAGTCGCTCAAAGGTCGTCCATAAATTATTGTCTCACCGAATAAATTTCACCAGTTGAAATATACTATTCAAAAAAGTCAAGTTAAATCAAAGGTGAAGATATATGGTGATCATATATTTGTATGACATAATGATTTAGTTGATTAGGTTGTAGAGATTCGTTTATTTTGTGAGTGGTTGTCATGATGAATGAACATCAGTTGGAATAACTCTGAGAACAAGCAAACATCTGAAAAGTATTTTATATTAATATAAATTATCAATTTTAAGTTAACTGAAAGAGTTCAGCCAAGCTAAAAGTGAAATAATCATCAATTTAGTATGAGATCGCAAGCTTATTACTCTATTTAATGAATATAATCCAGAAATGTAGACCGTTATGTTCCAACCCTCATTCTCTTTCTCCCCAACGATCCTGTATTCTAACTCTGGATAGATTGTGGCTCAATCTGTCTAATGCTCTCTGACTTTTTCATTGATATTGATGTCCATTAATGAAGAAAACCAGTTTTAGATAGTATTACTTAATCATTATTGTAGTATGACAATTTTTCTTGTTCAAGTCACTTGACCAGTTACAGCATTCAAAATATTCTTTTAATCGACTTATAAAATCTCAGTTATTCGAATTCTTAGCATCGATCGTTATTTAATGGACGAGAAATGAAACAACACTTTGTTATGTATTTTTTTGTTATCAAGTTATTGAACATCATATTGTTAGCAAAGATGGAATAGTTACCGACACCGAAACAGTATCGTATCTTATGAACAATGTTCACACAATGTGACTTAATAATAAACTATTGTATTAGTAAGAACAAATAAGATAACCACTTCAAATTTAAGAAAATAGTCAGATAAGTCACAATAAGTACTGGAGGTCCAAAGAAACTTTAAACAGAAAGCTCTCAATACTATACTAAAGGATTTTTGAATTATTAAAATGATACGACATTAGTTATCAATGATAGCAAATTAAGCTAGTGGATTTTGCATCACACTTTTATATACAATCTATATGAATCCACGAACCATAATGATTTCATGCTTCTTTATGAATTCACTGGCACGATTTATCAGCACTCAATCATCACATTCATTCAGACCAGTTTTAAACTTAAAACAAAGTTGTTCTAGTCTTTGGAAATCTCTTTCAAGAATAAATAATTTAGATGATGGCATCATTTACCGTTTGCAATAAAATAATCTCTTCAGAACTCATACCTGTTGCGCACGTGAGAAGCTATCTTGACTCAGTAGCTAAGTGGATAACGCGTTGTCGTTTGAAGTGACATATATTGGGTTCAAGTCTGTGGGTAAACATCAATTTTAGAATGCAGGTACATTCATCTGACCAGTCCCAAACAGGATGAAACGTTCATTCTGATTTTAACGGCTATTCCGTAAAAACATTGTTTATTTTTTTAGAAAATCACTTTTTGTTTAGCCTTCACTAGAAAGTATGATCATTATCATGTTAATAATACTCACTTTTGATGATAGTTTTCATCATGTAATAACGTTAGTTGAAGATCCAAGAAAGCTAAACGGTACTCGGTTTCTGTTTTACTCTCGTTTGAATCTCCTCAACAGTCCATAATCCTTCCTCTACCAAGCCCCTAAAACCATGATCCTCTGATTTTACTTCAATCATAGTACACTTAAACTAAAGAGTTGTATCCCACATAGTTCGATAGTTCTAACGTCAGTAATGTCACAGTCTATATCGCAACAACCAAATAATCGTGTCATTCAGTGATTACCGCAAATACTAAATACAGTTAATCTCTTTTCAGTCTTCCTTTTTATACATGAAAGTGTTTTAAATAAATCATTCTCAATATTCCCTTTGTTGCTATTCAGAGTAATAGAACGATATTTTTAATGCATGTAATATGAATTGAATTTTGAAGTTAATGTTGTGTACAGGCAACAGAAATCTATATTGACCATACTAACTGAATGCATGAATCACACCACAAATATATGTAGCCTGGTTTTGTTTATTTTTGCCAATAGTGCATATTTATCTCGTAATTTCTTCTCTCCTTTTTTTTCTTTTCTTTCCATTAGACTATTCATAAAGAAAATGAAACAAGTGAATCATCTAATAGAAATATTTCAGAAATACTAATGAAAAAATCATACAACAATGACACCACAGTAAGTGTAAACGATGAACATTCACCTCTAATTTTTTTTTATGATTGTATGTTACTTAAAATAGTATTTCAGTAGTTTCAAGAACCCAATCAAATAAACCGTTTTTAATCTTCGAGCAAAATGACCTTTGTCAATCTACCACATTAAATAAATGAAAAACCTCAAAATAACAGATTATATTTATTTAGTTATAATAATTCCATTGGTTTTGCAACTCAATTTTTAGGAAATAATTTTGGATTTTATTTACAATTAGGGCACTTTCTATTCATTTATATCCTGTCCTGTGTTAGATTGTGTGCTATGAAATTTTCCCCAGTGAATATTGATTGTCATTTGTTATCAGCAGTCATTCGTTGTACGAAAAATGTAATGTGATCTCGAGGTTTACTGGTCGAAAATTACAGTATGTCTTATTGATTATAAATCGTTAGTTAATGATGGCACATGTTGACAACATGGTATCAAGGTATGATATTGTTCAGTTGAATGAATCATACATCTCTTGACTTATTATTGATAACGACTGTTCTTCATCACATCATCAAACACTCAACACTGATGTCTCTCTATATATGTACTATAAGGATTTATGGTAAGTGAATGTACAAATTTGTTACACTTATTTAACCATAGTGTTTTGACTGTGACTAGGAAAAAATGTAAAAACCTAATAGAAAGGTGTATAAAACTTATTTATGAAACATTACACTAAAATAAACTTCATTTTCATGATGAATGTGTTGGTTCGTATGAGTGATGAAATCGGTAGTATATATTTTAACTTCTTTAATAGAAAATGAAAATCTAGTTATTGTAATACTATCTTAAGTAGGAGTTGAGGTGGCTGTGAAAAATAACAATGGAAACTATGAAGCCAAAATATTGGAACCATTTATGTGGATCAAAATAAAGCTTTTGCACTGTTATCTCTATACATTTAGATACTTTAGAAATAGTCTATACAATCATAGTTATAATCACTATAACACAACATGGACAACTATTTCAAATATAGAGAGTTTTAATCAATCCTACGATTAGACTTACTTACTCCTGTTACTCCTTGTGGAGAAGCATAGGCCACCCATCAGCACTCTCCATCCAACCCTGTCCTGGGCAATCCTTTCCAGCTCTTTCCAGTTGTTATTCATCCTTTTCATATCTGCTTCTATTTCCCGACGTAATGTGTTCTTTGGCCTTCCTCTTTTCCCTTTCCCTTCACGATTCTAAGTTAGGGTTTGCCTCGTGATTCAGCTTGGTGATTTGCGTAATGTATGTCCTATCCATTTCCATCACCTTTTCTTAATTTCCTCTTCATTTGGAAGCTGGTTTGTTCTCTCATACAATAGACTGTTACTGATGGTATCCAGTCAACAGACACTGAGTATCTTGTGTAGACAATTGTTTATAAATACTTGAACATTCTGATGATGGTTGTGGTGGTTCTGCAAGTTTCAGCTGCGTACAGTAGAACTGTCTTAACGTGTGTATTGAAGATTGTGACTTTGATGGTGGTTGACAGTCGATTCGAGTTCCATATGTCCTTCAATTGTAAGAATGCGGCCCTTGCTTTGTCACTTCTAACGTTTACGTCTGCATCGAATCCTCCTTGTCCATCGATGATGCTTCCCAGATACATGAAAGATTCAACATCTTCCAGAGTTTCGCCATCAAGTGCTATTGGGCTGGTATTTTCTGTGTTCTATTTAAGGATCTTTCCTTTTCCCTTGTGTATGTTGAGACCTACTACAGTAGAGTTAGAGGCTTCTGCTACACTGTTTGTCTTAACCTCCATTTGTTGATGTGTATGGGATCGAAGGACCAGGCCATCTGTGAAGTCCAAATCATCTAGTTGCATCCAACATGTCCATTTTGTTTCTTGCTTTCCCTCAGATGTTGAGGTCTTCATAATCCAGTCAAAAACCGGAAGAGAGAGAGGGGGGAGAGTAGACAACCTTAATTGGAATGCATCTGTCAGCTGTCCTCCATGCACCACTTTGCATTGTAGTCCGTCATATGAATTCCGGACGATGTTGCCGATGTTCTCACGTACACCATAGTGTGGAAGAAGTTTACATAATGTCCTCTTATCTAAATCGTCAAACGCCTTCTCATATTCAATGAAGTTAATGTATAGTGAATAGTTCCACTCAACTGTTTGTTCACCAATGACCCGTAGTGTCGCAATTTCGTCTGTGCACGACCAATACTTACAGAATCCAGCCTGCTGATCTCGAAGTTGGGCGTCTACTGCGTCTTTCATCCGGTTCAGTAACACTTTTGAAAATCTTTCCTCCTACTGGCACTAGTGTAATGCCTCTATAGCTCAGTTCTCACATATGCTCATATCTCGTTTCTTTGGAATCTTGAGGAGGTGCCCTTCCTTCCAGTCCGTTGGTACTCATCCCTCCTCCCGAATCTTCTTGAATAGAGGGTGAAGCATCTTTGCAGTTACCTCAATGTCTGACTTCAATGCTTTAGTTGCTGTATCATCAGGTCCTGCTGCTTTCCCACTCTTCATTTGTCTGATAGCCATCCTGATTTCTTCGATCGTTGGTAGAGTGACGTCTACTGGAAAGTCTTTGTGTGCTGCTTCGATGTCGGGTGGGTTCAATGGAGCTGGTCTATTAAAGAGTTTCTCAAAATACTTTACCCATCTTCTCCTCTATTCTTGAATTTCAGTGATTGGCCTGCTTTCTTTGTCCTTGACCCGTCCGACGATTAGAACAAACAATTAATCATTACATTTTAATTTTTTTATAGACTTTTCTAAATATCATAACTTTAGCTAAGTATTTCGAGGGATTTGGCAGAGTTTTAAAACTACATTTTATGTTATTCTATATAGCATAATCTGAACTTCAGTTCATAGATCCAAAACATTTTTGATGATGATGATGATGACGTAATATGGGTTAATTACTTCTAGTTCTTTTGATCGAGGTTAATTTCTGATCAATCCATATCAGCTGCCACAGTTTAACTGTTTACCCTTTTTAAATATTTCATATATTTTATTTTTCAGTCAAATATTTCTTCTGATATTGATACCAAACATTACAATACTGTTAATATTCCTTCATCGAAACGACAAATTATCAAAATATCAGAAGTTACTTCGTTACATGAAGAAATTAATATGATTAAACGCATTTCAGAAGATAATATATCACAATCTAATTATAATCAACCTAGGCGAAGAATATCACTACAATCACCTGGACCAACAATTTTTATTGATCGACGACATAGTAAAGGAAATCGTAGAAGCAGTACATCTTCAAATATTACTGAACTTTAATAAATAATCAATAGATTGTGTATTACATAACATTAATAAGCATCTATAATATTGATTTTTTATAATCATAATCATATGTATTATTATGTATGAAAATGTTTTTTTCTATCTTTAACACGATATACTACTGAATTACTTGTAATGTGATCAACTTAGATTCAATTTGTTTTATAAGATGATTTTTCATTATTATTATTATTATTTTGACTGAATCGATATTTCGTGTTTGTTTATTCATTTGTTTGTTTTTCCTAATTATCTATCTTTTCAGTTCATCAATATTTTCTTTATGAGTTCTAGTACTAAGGTTAATGTATAAAAAAAACATACTATAAATGTTAAAAGGAAAAATTGTTGAAGCATTCGATGAATTATTGTTTTCTTAGAGCAAAGGGGTGAAGGCTTTGAAAGACTTAGATTCCTAACGATAATGAAATTTCGTATATTCAGGTAATATTGAAGCACTTGTTCATAGTACACATGTACTAATAGAGATTGATTAAAATCTAGGGAGAAATCTCGATAATAAGAAAACATAGACTTATCACATCCAATGAACTAAATAGTGATCATTATAAACTCTCTGAGTGGATATTACATCAGGATCTGAAGTGATAAGTGCTGAGGTCTAGGTTAATTTAGTAGATGAGTCTCAAATCAAACAAAATGGGCATCCTGGATTTCATTGTCTTAACACATTCTACAAGATAATCACTTAAATCCTAAAATATTTTAAATGACAACAAGGACTTTTCAATCAAACTATCAAGTTCGTATAAAGGGATACTATCGAAAGTATTTGCCCTTAAGAAGTTTTAAAATAACAGAAATATAAATTCTCATTTATTTTAAGCGATTAACTTGAGCAAAAATGGATAGTGGCTAGCAGTGGAATCCAGGACGCGCGTTTCGTCCTATTTGGGACTCGTCAGCCGGATGCACCTGCATCTCAGAGTTGATGCTCACTCTGGGACTCGAATGCAGTACCGTTTGCTTCAAACGTTATCGCGTTATCCGCCTCACTACTGAATACTGATAGCCACTAGCTTGTGCAATGATGTGAAATTTAAATTCACTTGGTATTGTTTACTTAAATCTTCCCACTGATGTTTAGGACTGATTATAATTAAGTCCATTTTGCGAAATTTTTGTTAAATTAAAGAAAATCAATATGAAACAACAGTATTTTGACCAAATCGGATGCGGATCTCCTTACAACATTAAGTGATTGAAATTAAAACTGTAAACTTATAGTATTCATTATAAGTACCACATAATTGGGAATTTAAAAGATCGATTCTGGAATAGATCAATAGTAAACAACTAGACAATGATGTTTGCTGTCATTAATTATTCAGGTAATGCAGTTTCGTGATAAATTTAATCCTTAAATAATACAAAACATTCATAAAAAACCATTCTGTATTGTCATTAACTTAGAAATCTTCGAATAAACCGAGAACAGACGTATTCTTGTAAATTCCGAATCCATTTTTTGTGTGTATATATGTGTCGATATTCAGTGATCAAATGTGAAATCTATACAGAAAATATACAACAATATGGCGTTCACAATGATCTTAATTATGATGACTTAATTTCATTCGTAACCAACTGTAAGTTAGACTAATTTAACTGATCTACCAAGGTTAGTATGAAAAATAATTTTCGATTACAATAGTGTACTACTTATTGATAGTTAAACGTTCTATTAGAAATGCTTTTCCAGTTTTATTCCTATCTAGCTATTTAATTCAAACTATCGTTACTAAATTATCTGACTTTCCCCCTCCCCCACCTTACAATGTAGACTTGAAAACTAAATAACATTTCAAAGTTTTGTTAGAATTTAAAAGACCCCGTTACTACAAACATCTTTGGATTCAGCAGCTACAAATTTTCAGACGATCCTATCATCATTTAGTCAGACAGTTAGAATCCGACACTTAATAGTGTAACCATTTCTGTTTGATTTAAACCTTCTCCAGCTTATAGAAATCTTTATAAATCATCCAAGACCAACACTCATCTAACATAATCTATAATTGCATTTAGAAATCTTCATGTACTAGGGATAGTAAGTATATATGAAGGATGCAAAAACGTCTTAAAAATCTTTCGAATATATTACTCTAAACTTATTTCTGAAAGGAAGCAAAGTTTAAGCAAGCACAGTTTTCATGTATCCAGAGGTATTTGACACAATGTGAGTACCTCTAAAATGTTTAAAATAGTCAACAAAGAACAAACATTTACTTTACTCCGCAATGTTGTTGCTATCATAATCAAATGCTTTGGACCTAGTCTATATGCACAGAAGAAAAATGTGACAAGCCTATCATTTAAATGATTAATAGATTTGTAATCAAATAACTTTATCCGTTGAATGATCTTTCTGATAACCACCCATTAATTTAATTTTTATTTACATCAATTTATTATTTAATCACCTATTAATTCTGTGGTGTGTACTACTGAAGTCGACAGATATAAGTAGTATGTATCATCAATCGAAAGTGAAATGCCTGGCAGCACGAGGTTAAGAAGATCGAAGAAAAGAGAATGAGAACAAAGAATGATTGCTGTTAAAACAAAGGAACAATGAAGTCCGAGACGAGTGTTTGACATTTTACAAATGAAGTATTTATTGTGTGGTTCTCAGATTTTATTGAGATGCTCTGTAATGTCGTGTCAAATACTTTCGATCATCCCCAATCGTGTTCTTGTTCACTACAATGGTAATCATTAGTAATAATGCTACTAGTTAAAATATGCTCATTACACTCTTATATCAACCAATCAATCTATAATTAATGACAGATTACATAGAGAAAAGCGTAAATGGGTTACATCTTACTTAGAATAAATGTGTGCTATAAATTAATTGAATTACAATAACAATAACAGTCTTGTCTAAAAGTTTTTCAAGTCCATCGAACAAATTATTCACACACCTTTTTTCATTGTAATAATATAAAACAATTGAATGAAGAAGAAGAAGAAGAAACATACACACACAAAATGAGTAAATGGGTTCAATAATAATTAAGTCAAGACACTTCATAAGTCCAATGTTAATTGTCGAAATGAATCTATCCGACAAATTAATTATTTATGAATAAGTACTTAATGACAAAAGTTAATGATTAAAGTTTATTTTGTAACTAGTCGACATAATTTTCTAATCTCTCTCTCTCTCTCTCTCTCTCTCTCTATATATATATATATATATATATATATATATATATATATATATATATATATATATATATATATATATATATATATATATATATAAATCAATACTTTGCCTACTTGGCAACTGATATTGGAAAGGAAATCTCCTTATTTCGTCAAACTATTGATCTTCAACTAATTCATGTATGCATCATTTAAAGCCACATTGTCCAACGGTATTTTAGTCATTTGACTGATTTGTAGGCAGATATAAATACTATAAACATCTTTGCTTATAATGCTTGTAAATTCAGGCAATATCAAGGCGATACGCACAAGATGCATATATGCCAATAGGGAGACTGATCAGTTGCAGTCTTAAACATCAATGGAAAGATTCAAGTAAATAATATCAAGTGAATTTAGATATTAATACTGTTAACTATGATCGTATGACAGATATTGTATGAGATAATGACGTGAGAAATTAGAAATAATAATAACTAGTACAAACTTTGCGTAACCTACAAAACCTAATGCAATTAAAGTGACCTTACTTCATCATACTAATATTTTTATTCATTTATAACGTTTCTTGATCCAAACAAGAATATGTACGTGCCGATGGTGAGTAACAGCTCACCACCAACTTACATCTCTCACAAGCTATATAGCTTTAAGATATCAAGGGATGTATTGACCCTGAAAGAGCGATTTGATTTTTGGATTAATCTGTAGGCGAACATATCAACAATAGGGACTAGAATAAGTTATTATATGAGGAGTTCCATTTTTGTGTTATGACTAGAGAAAATCTGTATGAATCACTTTTCAGTATGCGATCTGTAGCTTAACTTATTTGATGGTATGTGCATCCTAGTGATCACTGATTAGAAATCTTCATGATTGATGCCCTGTCTAAAGAAAGGTTTTTAATTGGTTCTTTTGTAGTGTCTTGGATGCTAATTAGCTAAAAGATCTAAAACGACAAAAAAATTCATTATTCAATTCTTCTTAACATTTAATAATTCTTTATTTAATACCAGTCCGTGACTAAAACCATCTTCGAAAGTTCAGATAAATTTTAAATTGAATTCAATTGTTTGATATTAATCAATCGTTGATAAGCTTACATCTAACTTTTTTTGAAAAAAAAGCCTCTATGCCATGTCGGAAAAGAAGAGAACAATAGAAAAATGAACAGATCAATAACTAAGCACTTAGTATAAGACTGAATCTTATAATGAAAACAGTTAATCATAGTTAGCAACAAAAAAGACAATCTAATCACTGTTATTCAATACTGACTGACAGGGTACGATTTCCAGTAGTTTACATAAATCCTGTAGAAGAAAATACTTTGTTCCAGTTTTTGAGTACACTTGAACATGTGTATGATCCATACCAATCTTCTAAAATTACCAAAATTCATACAATCATTACGTTAATAATCCATAAGTTAATTAATCTTTGTCAAGGCCTATTTTATTTCATTACAATTAACCTTTAAGTAATTATCATCTACTTCTTTTTCTTCTTCTTCTTCTTCTTCTTCTTCTTCTTTTAATTTTGCTGTTATTTTGATTTGTTGTTTAATTGAATATTGAATATAATTAAATGTTATTAATGATATAATTCTCATAGAAACTTAATTACTAACCCAATCATTCTCTTTTTTGGCATCTTTAGTTCTCTTTTAAAACAGTAGAGAAAGTGGAATTCATTCAATTCGAATATAATACTGCACACACACACGCACACACACATACATCCATACATGTATACATTCCACAAATGAATAAATATTAATATATAATCACTATGTAAATCTTACACAAATAAATGGATGTACAAAGATTAAAAATAATTGAAGGTAGAATATAGATCAACTAATCAACTGCTTATAATCAAGAATCATTTAGTTTTATTGTTAGTTAGTTAGTTAGTTAGTCAGTTAGTTCGTTAATTGTTAAAGTTTAATTAGTATTATTTGGATTGCTCAAACTTTACTAAGCTGAAAATAGAGAGGAATTGAATTCCCTGAGGCTATATATATATACAGAGAGAGAGATTTGAGACTTTCTGTTGAACCATGTACAATATGAGCAAACAGATTTGTTCATGATTGTTTGTTATTGTCATCATTTTGCTTCAAAGAGTTCTTTCGATTTGTCCTTATTTTGTTCTTTTCT